TAACACTACGCGAAACATATCTCATGTTACCCTTCATACTGTATCCATGTTTTGCAGGTTAGGCTCAGAACTTACACCTGAGAGGCAGCTTAGGGAAGAGGCAGAGACAATGATGAAACACTTAATGACTATGGTTCAGTACACAGCAGTGAGTTTTTGACCCTCCCAATGTATATTTGTCAGTTTAGCATCTATCTTGTCCACATTCCAAGTGAGAGGATTTCAGGCAATCATGGTTAATTAGCCGCAGGAAGCCTCTCGCTTGGTGTACTTGTGAGTTGTGATATTTATGGAACCGAGCCTTAGAGAGTTTGAGCCACTGAATGGACATAGTATGACAGATAACCGTACGACAAACACATAATGACAGCTTGTGGGTACTAGTGATATGAGTTCTGCTTGTCTTGCGTTAAAAGTTAAGCTTTTATTGATCAAGTACTTATTGTGTGGTGGGGTCTATAGATCAACTTTCACTTTCACTTATCAGAAATTGGGAATCTATTCTCAACTCATCTTATAGTGAAAACTGTGGAATGCGACCCTTCAAGGCAAGTGTCACGTGAGTTTTACCAGGCTTGCTATTGTGATTGAATGAAACAGAAGCTTTCTTGTGCAATTTTGTTCAACCTTCTAATTTGAGGAAATTTGAGACATCATCCTATTTCTTCCCCTGTTTGTGCAGGAATTGTATCATGAAATGCATGCTTTGGACAGATTTGAACAAGATTACCGACGTAAACTTCAGGAAGACGAGAACTCAAATACTACACAGAGAGGTGTGTTGTTTGAGTTTCAGGTCGCATCGAGTTGTTTATGTTTATATCTTAATAGGTTACTCTCATATATGCCGTCTGAGTTTACTTCCCTTTTTCACTTAAAGCCTCTCCTTATTTTTTAATATAGCCCTTCAATATCGAAAGTCTTAGAGCCTTGATTTCTGAGGACCAAGATTTCGCTGAAAGCAATGATTGATTTCTTTTTTTCAAACATCGTTTTGATCCATAGAACGAATCTCCTTTTCATTTGACTAGTTGTTTTAGATCTTTGTCATCAATGACATGACATTTTTGTTTTGATATATAGACAGCAGAATTATGTAAATGTGATACACCTGACGTGATATAAAAATTAACTGAATTTCTGGTGCCAACAACCATGTTAAACTGAAACTATATCCTTGATGGCTAATTTGAACTTCTTTTATTCACATCTTTCATTTCATATCCTAATGGATACTTATGAGCCGGGTTTGCATGAATATTCAGAGTTTTTTTAGCCTTAATTATTATTTTTGGGGACCTCAGAAGTTTTAACCGCATGCCTAATTGATGTCCAGGAGATAGCCTTGCAATTTTGAGGACGGAGTTGAAGAGTCAACGGAAACATGTGAAAAGTTTGAAGAAGAAATCCCTATGGTCAAAGATTTTAGAAGAGGTACTAGTCATTGTCGGTGAACTTTACTTGATCCTCTTATATCAGCATTTGCAATTTGGTGGAACCCAATTCAACAAGAAAACTGAGTTTGCCCCACTGGTCCTCTAGTTCCTAGACTCTAAAACTTTTCATGATTTGTGGTGAAGAATATATCTGGTTACTTGTGCTCTTAGGTCATGGAAAAGCTTGTAGACATCGTCCATTTCTTGCATCTGGAGATTCATGAAGCCTTTGGTAGTACAGGTAAGCATCCAGCAACCTCATGAAATCAACATATCTTGTCTATATTTCTCTGCCCGGAGTTGATTAACTCCAAAGAAGTTGTTCTTGTGGGCACTTTTGGCTTTGGGGATGATTTTGACTGTTCTGCCTGAAAAAGAACTCAAAGTAAACAAAAGGCCAAGCACTTGATTGTAGTTAAGCCGATCCACACGTGAACTTGATTGCGGAATGCATATTTAGGTCACTCAGATTGGAGATTGTTAAAATTGATTAACTGTGAAATGAATGGGTTGTGAGAATAGATAACTTCCAGAATTTTATTGTTTGGATGAGTGATTTTACGATGTAATTGTAGCCTCTAGCAGTCTAGCTTTTAGGATTGTGAACTCCCATCCTCAGTTGATAGTGGAATCTCCATAACTAGATGTAGTGGCACTTTGGAGATTGTCAAATGGGTTGATCACTCCACTTTTTGACCATCAGAACAAATTTTAGTCATCAATCTCTAACTCGCAATCCAACATCTCAACGATACTCAATCCTACATTCAAATGTACCCATCATATAATTCTTTGGTAGCTTTTTTATGTAAATAATTACAATACAACTGGAAAAGCTTGATTTAATTGGTATTATTGTAGAGCCAAGGAACGGACAATTGGAAGTCATGTACTGCTTGAATATTTTAGAACTAGTGGCATTACTAGTTTCTAGAGACGGCTGCGGAGCATTTTGGGAACTAAACAGTTTGTTATATTAGAATGTTTGGGAACTAGTGACATTATTAGTTTTTTTTTTTTTAGGTTGGGAACTAAACAGTTTGTTATATTAGAATGTTTGGGAACTAGTGACATTATTAGTTTTTTTTTTTTTTTTTAATAAGGGTGATGTAGGTTTTTACTTTTTTGTGATTAAGGTACTACTTAAAGGATTCGAACTTGGAACCTCCAGATTTTAGGCTAGTGGTATTACCACTAGGCCAGCCCTTGTTCGTTAGTGACATTATTAGTTTTCAGAGACGACTGTGTGTTCGTGACATTATTTTAGACCTGTTTGGCAACTAAACAGTTAGTTAGAATCTCAACTTGAAAAAGAGACTCTGTGAATCGTGCATGAAAAACTTCTATGTTAATGTGATATTTGTCACCACGTGCCCATAGATGCTCATTCCAGTGTTTTACTGTAGATGGCGATAGACCAGTGAAAAATTCGACGAACAGTCACAAGAAGCTGGGTGCAGCTGGCCTTGCTTTGCATTATGCAAATATTATAACTCAAATTGATACTCTTGTAAGTTGGTAATTCCATCATTCAGATTCAGGTTCATCTCTTCTCTTTCTGGATGAATTAGCTGAGCTCTGATATTTGGGCAATAACTAGGTCTCCCGGTCCAGTTCTGTGCCTCCAAGTACAAGAGATGCGCTGTACCAAGGGCTACCACCTAGTATTAAGTCTGCCATGCGCTCCAAATTGCTTTCGTTCCAGTTTAATGAGGAGGTAATAAGCCCTTGTTAGTACTCAAGTTTGAAAGGTATATGCTTCAATATTTTGTTCATTGGCAAATCTTGACTAGGTCATTGTATTTTCGTTGCAGCTCAGCGTCCCTCAAATCAAAGACGAAATGGAGAAAACCTTGCGGTGGCTTGTCCCAATTGCTGCTAACACAACCAAGTAAAAGTTTTGCCTTTACTTGCATTTAAAAGAAAATTTTGCTTGCACATATTCATGTGTGGTTATAGTTTTTGCCAATGCTGTTAGAATATGCATTTTAGATATTAAAATCTTATGATTACGATTTGATGTTACTTTTTGAGTTTACGTTGAGCAGAGCTCAGCACATAAAATCTTAATTTTGACTTCGTCTGATTTCAATGTTGATCAGAGCTCATCACGGATTTGGTTGGGTTGGAGAATGGGCAAATACAGGGTGAGCTGAAAGATAGCTTTCTTATACTTCTAGCTCTTCAATTGTTTTGTTTCTTGTAAAAAAAAAAAAAAAAAAGCTCTTCAATTGTTTCCAACCTCTTCTTATGACAAAACTCTCCCAGGTCTGAAGTGAACCGAAAGCCACCTGGGCAGAACGACTTGCTGAGGATCGAGACACTGCACCATGCCGACAAAGACAAGACCGAAACATACATCCTCCAACTGGTGGTGTGGCTTCACCACCTTGTCAGCCAAGCAAGAGCTGCCAATGGCGGAATCAGATCACCGATCAAATCACCCATGCGATCTCCGAACCAAAAGACGATACAGCTGACAGCACAAACTCCAAGCCCTCAGTCTCCCATACTGACAATTGAAGATCAAGAGATGCTGAGAGATGTAAGCAAAAGGAAGAAACCGCCCGGGATAAGCAAGAGCCAGGAGTTTGACACCGCGAAAACCAGGCTAATGATGAGCAAGCACCACAGGTTGAGTAAGAGCAGCAGTCACTCCCCTACTCGTGAAACCAAGAGAGACCCTTTCACTCTCAGGAGACCATCGCTGATCCCTGTGATTGACTTTGACATTGATCGGAACAAGGCCTTGGACGTGATAGACCGTGTCGACACAATTCGCAACTTGTAGAGATGGGTAATCTATGGTGGTGGTGCTTTGTAATGTATGGTTGGTGCTGTGTGGTTGTGATGGTAGATATTTTTTGTTGTTGTTGTTGTGTTAATGGCCAAAGGTTATGTGTTTAGGACTGAATCGCAGAATTAATCGAGTTTATATGATCGACTTAGGTTTTTTTTTATCATTATAGCTTCCTTTTTTGTTCCCTTGTTGTACAGATGAACGTTTGTGAAGGGTCTATGAACGTAGCAGGTTTAGGGTTTTCCTTTTCCTTTCAGGTCATCCGGCGTTTTGTTGTGCATTTTACCTATCCTGGAGCCCTGGATGGCAATGGGCGGGTCTCCTAAGTCATAGTCCATCTTCATTTTCAAATATTCAAACTCATATTCGCCCCATACTTGTCGATTAAGGCTCACTGGCTCAGGCTCAAAATGGTACCATGAACTCTAGTAGATCAACTTGACAGCTCCATTCATCCTCTTAGCAAACCCCAAATTTCGATCTAGCTCAATTCGGTGGCTTGTTGAGCTAAACTCTGAGCTGGCTTGTTGAGCTAAACTCGTGAGCTGTCTCATTTAAAGCTCATGAGATGTCTCAGATTGTGGTTAGAAAGCCAATTCAATTATCGAGTTACGGACGAATTGATCTATATCTTATGAGTTTAATTTATATGATTATTAAATTATACATCTCACTATATGTGAAGCTTAACACGCTGAGTATGTGAGCAAATATATTATTTTTTATTTAGAAAGAAATTTTGTATACTATGAAATAAAATGATTTGGACCAGTTAAAATTTATTAACTACATAATATGATACAAACAAAGTATAATATGAGATTAGTTAATATTGATCATTTGACTATTTTTTTTTTCATCATGACATCAATCACATGTATCATACATGATATTCAAAATGAATTATCAAATAAGAGTCAAGATTTTAGTAACCAAGCCTAGGTCGAACTCGACTCAATAGACGGCTTGAGCTCGAGCTCAGCTCGTTTATTAACGAGTCAAGCTTAAAATAGGGTAAAACTCGGCTCGACTCGGCTCACTTGCAGCCCTACTTACAATGCATTGTAGGAGTAAGTTAAAGAGCCTAAAAGGGTGAACCCCTGGGAAAGAATCAAACAGCACAATCAGTGACACAAGATATGAAACTCTGCCTGTAATTTCAACTTGCCATATACTAACCTCAAACATCAGCTGTAAAGAAAGTTTTGTTATACTGATCCTAGAGTAGCTCAGTTAATTAAGCAATCAAGGAAACAACTAATATGAGTCATAACCAGCATCTTCTGGTTTCAAAAGCTCTTCAAGTTCATCTTCCCATTCGTCTTGGCCATCGACTCCAGATGTCCCTGGAGAAAACACAACATAACAAGGATGTAACTTATGAGCGGAAAAGAGATTCTGAAAGCTGGCATGCAAAGAGGAAGTTGGAAGGAATGTTACCATCATTGTAGCGTGTGAATTTATCGATGGTGAGCTTGGGGATATGAGCCACCCTTTCCCATTCTTCTCCTTTATGGGCAGAAGAACTATGAGGATGACCACTTTGGTAAATCTCACTGAGAGGGTAATAGCACCAGTTGATCTTCAGCTCCTCCAGGGTAGTTTTCTGAAGGAGTTGGTCTGGTAATTTCTTCAGAGAATAACAGCGTCCGACCTCCAAGGTGTGAAGACACGGCATGATCTGAATATCCAGCTCCCACCCATCCCACTCTGTCCAATACTGCATGTTGAAAAACCGAAGTCTCGTCAACCTTGGGAATGCAACCGACGATGATGACGAGACATTGTCATCTTCCGGGAAACCCAAAAACTCGCGGCCCACCTTCTCCACATCCAAGGATCCTAGCTCAAGTTGCTCAAGAGATGGCAACCTCCCCAGAGGAGGCAACTGCTCACAGTTGAAGCAAAATTTGAGTGTAAATTTCCTCAAGTGGATTAGTGATAGCAACCAACTAGGGGAGAGTTTGGTACCATGGTACCTCACTATGGTCAGATGTTGCACACATTCAGGCAGCTTTAGTGCTTCTACTAACTTTTCATCCCCAGTTGTCCTCCACTCTGGGTGGTTATCTTTGTCCCAACTGAAGTGCAGTGACAAAACTGTCAAGCCCTTTTTCTTCTCCAGCTCTGCTTGCTTAGCCTCACTCACATGATCTAATGACAGTCCTAGCCTATTTATCTTTAAGTGTCCTTGAAGCAGATTCAAGTTTTGAAGATCTGAAAGTGAAGCTGAATCAGTTGTACTACTACTGTCCAAATTTAACTCCAGCAATGTCCTGAGCCCATGGAACCTTCCAATTTCTTTAGGAATGGCAGCTGGAGCATTAAGATTGAGTAGATGCCTCAATTTAACAAGCTTCTCCATCCTATTTGGCAATGCCATCAAATTATGACAGTAATTCAGAGCTAAAGTTTGTAGATTATGCAAGTTGCATATTCCCTCAGGCAACCTTCTCAAAGATCGGTTGCTTGAAACATCTAGCATCCTTAGATGCATCAGCTCACATATTCCTGGGTGCAACTCATCAAGATCACAGTTGCTCACGTCCAATGATCTTAGACATTTCGATTGATCCAGCAAATCAGGCAACCTTGAAACTACTGGATCAGGATACTGCAGATAACCCAGAAATAGAAGGCTGCGCAAACTCTTCCAATCATTAAATGAAGTAGGAAACTCTCGACGTGGCAGGGCTACTCCTAAATGCCGCACTTTTCCTCTTAAGAACTCCATATTATGCTGCTCCAGAACATCAGCCTCCATGCTGTAACATTCATTGCTAGATATGAATTGTGCAAAATCATGTACCAAATCATGCATTTTACATGTCACTCCGCTACCAAGTAAGCTGTCGTTTGTTTCAATTTCTTGGAAGAATGAACGTCTGGCCAAGTTCTCAAAATATATTTCTCCAACTAATTCCAAGTCCCCTTCTTTACTTGAGGGTGCTCCAAGATACCCTTGAGCCATCCATAACCTTATTAACTTGTCCTTTTCCACTATGAAATCCTTGGGGAAAATGGCACAATAAGATAGACATTGTTTCAACTGTGGAGGCAACTCATGGTAACTCAACCATAAGGGGGCAAAAAGATCGACTTCCCTACTTATCTTAAGCTCCCATACCGGACTATTCAAGACACCCTCCCACTGTCTTCGGGACGTTACAGAGCGCAAGGCTGCTCCCAGAACTTTTGCAGCAAGAGGCAAACCATTACATTTCTGTCTCACTATTTTCTCCCCAATATCCTTCACCAACTCAATCTCCTTGCTATCCCATCCCAAAAAGGCATGTCCACTGAATACCAACCAACAAGCATCCTGTGATAAGGGGAGCAATCGGATCATCTGCGATCTAGTGCAACCCAAAGTATTAGCAACAGTTTCTTTGCGGGTAGTGACCAAAATCCTACTCCCTGCCTTTGCAAATCTCAGAACCCCCATCAACTCTTCCCACCTGCTAACATCTTGTTCCCAAGCATCATCCAGAACGAGAAAAAGCTTCAATTTCCTAACACAGTTGTGTATCTTCTCTAACACATCAGCAAAGTCACCCTCTACATCCACCCTAGAGTCCCAAAGAGCTCCAAGGATCGACTTCGCAACTCGTACCTCGTCAAAGGTATCAGTAACACACACCCAAATGCACTTGTCGAAATGGTTCCCCTTCATCCTCACTTCTCGGTACACCAACTTAGCCAAAGTTGTTTTCCCCAATCCACCCATCCCAACTATAGAGATTACTTGCAGACCACAACTTTCACTATCCTCTCTGTCACTCACTAGCATCTTCACTAGCTCAGCCTTTTCCACCTCCCTACCCTTCACCTCCGTATACAGGACAGAGCTCGTTAATTTTCGACCCACACCAAGATCTCGATGTGCACTGTTGTTACAATCATTATAAGTAGTAAAATTGTAGGTGTTCTTCTCCTTATCAATCACATCAAGTCTCTGATTCAGCACCTTAATCTTGCTGCCAACATCATATCTCACGCCAATTTCATCGAAGGAATTCCAAGAGAAAGGGATAAAAAAGGGGCATACTTTAAAGAGACAGCTGAAGATTCGAAGAAGCTGCATCTCTAACCAGCTGTGTTCATTTCCATGCCCTTCTTCTTCCTCATGGAGAAGAATAGCAGTATTCCATTCATCCAGCACATCGTCCATTTCATAAGCTACATCTTTGAGGTTCTGGATCCAAACCTTCACAGCTTCGCTGGTGAGCTGCTGCTGCTCGGCATCCTTGAGCACGGCTTCGATGGCTTTGAAAGCACTGCTCAGCATCCTCACATCGTCGTCAGCATCTATGACGATCATCGCGCGTCGATGTAGCTCGTCAGCTAGGATGGAACCCAGTTGCCCGATGACTTCGGAAACGACGCCGGCGGCCATAATGCTTTGATCGGAATGAGATCTGAAGAAGAAATCCAGAGAAAACCACAGTGGGAACTGGGATGGTTAAACTGTGGGCTGAGGGTTTTAAGGCTAAAGCGCCACACTTTGCTTTATTGGATTAATAATAACCAAATGGAAGACGAAGAATATAGTAATGTCAAGTTGCTTCCTCTTAGATTCCATCGCCAAACCCACTTTCCAAACAATTCTCTCGCTTAGTTCAGACCGAGTATGGAATTAGTTCAGAGTTCATGCAGAGCTTGCAGGCAAATTTTGGTATGAATTGAATACAGACCTGACGGAGTTGATCAAAGTTGAACGAGGCTTGACTTGGTTGACTAGTCTTGACCAAGATTGACTTCTGAGTTGGGTTTGAGCTTTGACTTGGGGCCTAAGTTTCTCTTGTTGTTGAATTTTGTTTGTAAATGTAATCTTTGATAAGGGTAATTATTATTTATTTTAATTGTAATTATCTTAATAGGCTTGTTACTTCTTTTCCTCAATTCAACATCTCCTCCTTATCCCTCTGAAATCGATTTCGATGATTTAGATTTTTATCACCCTAAATTATAGAAGGTTATTATTACCAACCGAAATTGGGCGGGAAAGCTCGAATGTTTTGGAACGAGGAGATGGCGGGCCATAATGGGCCGAACTTTTGAAATGAAGATTGGGCTTCATGTTCATTATCCCAAAAAGAAAAAAAGCGCCCGCACTGGGCAGACCTTTTTTTTTTCTTTTTGGCAGACCTTTTTATCATCAAAACATAAACCTTTTTTCTGTTAATTGGTAATTACCCAGAGTTATACGTAAATAATCCAGTAGGTGACTGGACTGACGAAGGATTCAAAGCTACGAACGTCCTCGTATAAAATCACACGGTGGCCATCTGCGCTTTCACGATATCCACAGGGAGTGCATGGACTGCAACTTCTTGAAATCGGCGGACTTGAGGGACATCTTGTACAGCTCTCTCAGCTTTCCAGCACCATCGCCGTGCCTGTTCGATGATCCCGGGACATTGGCTGCAGTTGAAGCAGGCTTCTTTGCACTCTCGGATACTGTTGTCGCGAGCATTTTCTTCAAGACGGCGCGTAGCTGATCCCAGAACTTGGTGTGCAGAGCGGGGTAATCAGATTGGAAAGCGTCTGAAATCGATACATGGCGTCCTTCCAGTAGACGGTTGAGAGCTGATTCTAGCATCTGATACCAAAAAAGAAAGCCCACCTAAGGCGTCAGTAGCTTGCCATTGAGTATTGGTGGGATACAATGCCCATATGATTACCATGTAAATGATAGCAATTCAGGATGTCGGTAGGAGAAATGTGCGAGGAACATACCGTTTGGGAGTGTAGAGCTTCTGAGAGACTCATCGATAGAGCAGATCTCTCTATGATTATGGTCAGATACATGGCAGGATGCGTCGTAGGGCTGTAGAAATCTATGGACTTTTGCCAGTTCCTCTCTGCCAGAGAAGAGTATTGCTTCACTCGATGGAGAATAGAGCCATTTTCGCCTTTAGGGTTATGATCTGTCTCAAGAAACTTCAGGCAGCAATCCCTTTGATGGCAGGCAAGCTGGAAATAGGCATATGCAGCCTCTTGTTTGCGTATTTCGCCTAGGGACTCGTACAGAGCCAACGCTTCTCGAATGGCATCATTGGCTGAAATCTCACGCGTGCTCACGTCTTCGTATACTTCAGCGGTGATGTCTTCACTTGCCAGAAGCATGCCAAGCCTGAGATAGGTATGTGCGAGCTGAGTACAGACTTCATCCCCTAGACCAACTGGCAAAGAGTGAGCTTCATCTGACAGAAAATTCAGCTCGGCTTTTGCTGCCCCATAATACTTGAGTGATTCACCATATTCCAGTTTTGCAGTTTCAAGAGCTTGCTTGTGCGCTTTCTGGAAGATTGCATGAACTCTGAGATTTTCCATCTTGTTCACCATTTCTTCAGCCAATGCTCGTCTGCCATGGCCAAGGTTACAATTAATCAAGATGATGTTAGTGTGATCAGAAACTTCCCTGAATGCCCTAATGGCATCGGCAAAAGCATGTTCAGCCTCTCTCAGTTGCTTCCTTTCGAGACTCTTCCTGCCAATCTCATTGCAGACCCACCCTATCTTCTTTACTAAAGACTGAAGTTCTTGCGAGCTAGAGGAAAGGCCAGTCAAAGCCTTTCGAGCCTCTTCATAGCAACTTCGAGCTGTAGAAAGATTTTCTTCAGTGCCCCCAATAATCGTTCCCTTAAGGTACTTAAATATCCCACCATCTTGGTTCTTAGGATTGTCTTTAGACACTTTGGCAGTTTGGTCGGGAGATGTATTGAGATTCTCCCCTGGCTTATCGACATCCTTACCAGAATCTCCCACTGAGCTTTCACCATGTTGGCTGGATTTAGATTGCCTTCCATCTGGCACGTTCTTGCTTACCAGTTTTTCATTAGCAGGAGCACCCTCCTTGTCTCTGAGGATTGACGATTTGACATTCTTACCACCAGATCTTTTCACATGCTTTCTACCATAAGGTACAGCAGACTTACTTCCACTGCTGCTACTAGCACTGCTACCACTGCTGACCCTATCGCTCTGGCAGCTACAGTTAACCAAGGAACAAGAGCTGCAATTTTCCACATACTGACTCAATTTTTTCTTTAACCTCTGTACCTCCTTCACAACCTCGCCTGACATTCTCAAATCTGCAAGAGAATTTTTCCTCTCTGTTTGAACTACGAGCTCTGTACCTTTCATAAAATGAAAATCAACGTAGACATCTCCGACCAGTGTCCAAGCCTTTGCCCAGAATAGGTAGGTCGAAGACAATTGCTCAAAAGCAAGCTTATCATCACCAGAATCAGATCTGCTTTCCTTAATGTTACCAATACAGGATAATGTCTTACCATTTTGATCAGCTGATTTTCGTGGGGACGAATACTTCACCATTGAAGAGAGAAATCGTGCATCTTCCAGTTGCTGTGGCATTGATCCATAAATTGAACATGCTAATTCTACTATCTTAAGAGCACGATGCAACTGTTTATCCTCCTTATAAGATTGCCCAAGAGCCAGGTAAGATTCACCGAGTAGAAGCACAAGTTTCCACAATCTATGATCTATTTTAGATGTTGGAAGCCATTCACGGATGTCACAAACTTCAATGCAGTCTGGATCACCACATGCACAGACAGAAAATTCAGCAGCAGGAGCCTGACCATAAGCAATGTCACCTTCTGCAAAGTCTGCCTCGGAAGGTTGTAATTGGCGAACCCATCTGAGGGACTTGATTGCTTGTGAAACATGATGTATAGCAGCTAGCTTAGAGGAGATGGGATCACTAACAGTTTGAACCACATGTGCAAGTGGTTCCGGAATCTCACAGATTGCAAGTGTTTCATCAGAATCAATGGATGGGAGGGCTTCTACCGGTTCATTCACCTCCGATTTCTTCTCTGTAGCTTCCAATGAAACATTCTCATCTATACTTCCTATATCTTCTGTTGCTTCTGGCTCAGAGATATCCTCATCCACAACATACTCAGGAGAACAATGAAAAGGATCCTGAGACAAAACTGGGACTGTAGCTTCATAGTCAGTAATAAGTGACTCCGAGCTCAATTCCATCTCTTCGACATTAGTCAAAAGAAGCCGTGCAAACTCCTCATGAGCAGATGCACGTACAACCTGATCAAATAAACAAAATGATCCGTGAAGCTCAAGCTATCAAAGGATAACACATTAGGAAAAGGCCAAAAAACATTTCAACAAAGACACTAAGGTTACTGAAGGAGCTATGCCTACCAGATCATCTGGCTCGTCCAGGAATTCCAAACATTTTCGGAAGAAACTAGCACACTTGGCTCTTCTGTCAGGAGCCTAAAACCAATCAACAAATTGCCAGTAAGACACACTGATCATACTCCAAAAAAAATTCATCATTATCATACATGGTTCATACTTCTTACCAATGAAAGGGAAAGTCTATGTGCAACACGATATAGCAGAGTTCCCAATGAGAATGAGAAATCGCTTCTCCCTCTATGTAGAGGTGGCAAAGAGCGTGAATCATCATTACAATCGTCTGAAGAGTGACTATCAGGAATGGCAGAAAGATTAAAAAGTTGAATCATGTCTTCACCAGCGCTTTTGTAAAGCTGTGGAAAAAATGATAGCGGATCAGCTAGCTACAAATTGAGAGAAACAAAAACAATATATGTTCAAACACATAACATCAATGTACCCAATAAGCGCCAGGATCCTGCGTGCAGTTTTCTTGAAGGAATCTCAGTACAGAAAGTCCATTCTGCTGAACAACATGAGGATGAAAAGCTGGTGCACCATCTTCAGATATTCCTTTCAGTAAAAAGATTTCATCTGTTTTAAGAAGTTCATAGCCCTGGACAACCCCGTTTTCGTGATAACAAATGGCCAACTCCGGTACACTGGCCATGATATTGTCAAGCCAGGCTTCGAGCCAAGTTAAGGGAGTGACCTGAGAAGAAATGGGAAAGCCAATGAGAAGCTTCAAACACTTCAAATCTACCAAACGTACCTGGTCAATCTTACCTTTCGGGTTACATCCCACAAATGCAAGCTCACAGCAACATACTTTTCATTACTGAACAGAAGCAAGTCACTTCCCAGAAGCATACGGAAATTATGGAACTGCCAGAACAGAACCCTTAGGAATCCATCATCTCTCACTCTTTTATGTTTTTCAGACTCTTGGACTGTACTTTTCGACTTCTCGGTAACATGTGTTGTTTTTTTAACAGGATGACGACCCTTGTTTCTCTTGTTCTTTTTACTTTCCAAAAACAAACCATCTTGCTTGACCTCTGAATAGTCTGAATGATTGCTCACTTCCTTATTCGGTACAACATTATCATTATTCCCAACAAACTGTGAACTACTTCCCCCAGGCAGAACAGATGAGTTTGATTCCCTTTCTGGCGAATGATGAGATGGAGGACAATCACAAGCCTCCATCCTCACTGAATGCATAGCAAAGTTCAGAAACAAAGATTGATCTGCACACTTTGCCTGACTGCCGTGTCTTCTAACCAACTTTTCTCCCTCTTCAACATCAGGTCTGCAAACCATAGGGCAGTTGAAGTGTTATAATAGTTCAGAATAGAAGCAAACGAGCCCTGGAAGAAATGCATACCCAGAATTCAAAACAAGAGTCTGCCCAATACGACGCACTGCAATCGACAATCGGGCTTTGGAATAGGGCATTTTGAAGATTTGCTTCAGAATATCAGCCGGAGCAATCACGTCAATCTCATCTCCATATTCAACCAGACCGGTTACAGCAAGGGTCTCACATTTCCTACTCATGTTTGATGAAAAAGCATCTCCTTCCCAAAGCAGTTCTGCCACATGGAAGCCTCAAAAATCAGCTCAGAAACCACAGCCTCAATAAGAAAGGAAGCAAACTAGCATGCTGGCCTCATTAACATGCTAAAATCAAACACTAAGTTAGTTGTATATATGTGAAAGAATAACACAACGTCTGTTCTATTAACTGCATCGATCGAGCAATAACTACAAGCAAAGAAGAGAGGTCCCAACACACAGCATACTAAGTTGGCTATCCGAGCAAACACCAAAACTAGCTGGATTACAATTTCTCAGTGATCTAATAACTACTGCTCTTTCAGCAACCAAAAAACAGGAAAGGGATTGCTCATCGTTCAGAATATCGTACCTCCGGTGGTTTTACACTGTACTGCGCCGATTGGAAGAACCTTCTCCGGTAAGTTGGAGACTACTGGAAGAGTATTGAGATCGGTCTCCGCCGGAAGCATTCTGTACCTTGGCGCACTCACCCTAGACAAGACAAAACACCAAACTCCACAGTTCACAATTAGTAAGAAGCCAGCGAAGCCAAGGGGGGTGCAAAAATAGCCGAAAGGAGACACTCACTTCTGACGTGAAGGAACCAGAGCCGAATCAAAGGCGTGGAAAGATTTATCAGTCGGCACAGGGATGGAACCGCAGAGGAAACCCACCGGCTTCGGCCGGACTATTTCCAACCTACCAACGCACTGAAGCTCTTTGGAACCGTCGAAGGAGCTCGACGATGGCGACGACGGTGGTGACGGTTTCTCCATCGATTCTTCGCTATTGCCCCGGCTCGAAGAACGGCAAGCTTGCGCCGGTGAATTTTCGGTGATTCTGCCGGGAACCGTTGTTTCCCTTTTTCTTCCGTCGGCCTGCTTCTCCTGCTTTCTAGAAGTCGCTGGAAAGGAACTGGTACTGGACTGGTATGTCTGTATGAGAAATGGGATTGTGTTTACCAGGAAAAAAGATAATGGGCCACAATATAGAACCCAGTTCCGGACCTCAAATCTACCCGCTAAAGCCCAATAGAATCATGGCGCGCGAATATGGACACATATTCAAATTTTAAAATGTTCCATTTAGTATAGTTGTGTGTTTATATATTATGTGGTGAGTTAAAAATGCCAAAATTTAAATTGAGGATAAAAGTATCTTTAGTTTAGTTTTTGAATTCTAGTTGTGAAACATATTCTTGGTGATTCGTCCAGAGATTGTTTCTACATACGAAAAAAAAGAAAATTATTTGCTACTTTATGTTTCTTGTTTCCTTGCATCTAGTTACTCTTTACATTTTTTTTACAGATCGTTTGGATGAATTAATTGTCAATTTGGTATTGTAGAGTCAAATATCTTATTGATTATTCATGTGATATTTGAATGTTATTTTAGTGATAGTTGGATTAAAATATCTCGTTTGGTTGAGCCATACACATGTGGTATTTGGAAAAAAATAAAGAGGCAAAACTAGTTATTTCAAAATAACTAGGGGTAAGAATTATTTGTAAATAACTCTCAAATAACTCATTTGAATAAAATGTTGCCAAATAAGTTATTTGGATCCTTTCAAAAGATTCAACGACTCCAAACTCCTCAGCAGAAATCCTTTTTGGGCAAATCTTATTATCTCTACTCTATATCAACTAATAACAATCTGAGGATGGGTAGTGGATTAAATAAAACATTCATGTTAGTTCTTTTGTACAAAATTGGTTAATAGTGTATCTAATGGATTAGGAGTTGACCAAGAAAGTTCACTTAGCTAGATTACATTTCCTGCTTCGAGTAGTAATCGGCGATGAAACAACATTTTATAACAGTTATATAACATTGTTATAGAATGTAGCTAAATAAATTTTTCATAATGAGTGGTCTAATAACAATAAACTTATGATAAAATTGCATGTAGGGGATTGTTATTATGTAAGCAAAGATATTACATGAATCTTTCTTAATGATTAACACACTACATAAAACTTATGAACGTGTTATAATTTTGTGTGTAATTAAACAAAAATATTATGCAAGTCTTCCATATTGATTAAACACTACGTAAACCTTATGCAGGAATAGTTATTTATTATGTATCACTTAAACAAACGGATGATATATGTTATTCGTGATGATTAATATAATACGTGAAATTTATGTAGGTATTTTATCAGAATAATGTTGTGAATTATTTGATTTCAAATAAATCATTAGTTTCTTACCACGGTAGAGAATCAACCAAAAAAACTAGTAAGCATTAATATCTTTAGTTGTTATGTGTACAAATGGTAACTAAGACAGTTGAATGACTAATATTGACAAAAAAAAAATGTTAACCCGACTACAGTGTCAGCAAGTACCGCTTTGTCGTCTTGGCGAAGACAGGGCTAGCTGTAGATGGGATTTTCAGATTCGGCAAAGAGAAGCTGTTTGTTCTCTCCCAACTATACTATAGAGGAATCACCCCTCGAGTGTTCTCTCACTGGTTGAAAGGAGGGGACACTTAAGGTGGTATGTTCGTACTTGGAGAGGTTTCGGCGCCAGGAATGGTCTACACTCCACTTGTCCCATGGCAGTAAGTATATATACCATGTAACTCTGAGTTATTGTTGTTTTGATTAGCATTTTAAATACAAATTATGGACTTATTGCTTCCTCTACAAACTTGCAGGCCCCTTTACAGTGTTCACCTTGAGAGCATTGTAGCTAATGGAAAGCTGCTACCGGTGGATCCTCGAGCCTTCACACCTTCAACTGGTCGTGCGACATTGCTCGACACTGGAACAACATTTGCATACCTCGTGTCAAAAGCCTACGATATGTTTGTTAGTGTTGTAAGCAACAATCCCTTCCCTAGCCTTAGAACTGTATAGTATGATGATGCTTTTTAAACTTCCTGAGCATTCTTTCCGATGTGTTTAAAACTGACGACTTACTGAAATTCTAGGTTACTAATGTAGTCTCAAGATTTGGGACTCTTAGAGTAATTAATGGATGACAGTGTTACGCGATTAGTTCCAAGTTTGACATCAACCATGAAAGAACTGGTTTCACACATAGGTTTGTTATGTTATTTCTCAAACGTGTATTAGACCTTCATCTGCAGACTGTTACCTCCGGTGAGCTTGAACTTTCCTGGCGCTGTTTGTTTGGAATTGAAGAATATATTTTCCTTTCCAATGTAAGTAGATACACTTAAAAGTCAAAACATTGGATATACAATTAAAACCTTGGAAAACTCTCTTAAGGCAACTAGTTATACAAACTGCCTTGCAACAGGATGGTAGTATGTGGACTGTGGTGCATAGGTTTTCAAAAGGCTCAAGGTCAAACCAGTATGTTGAAAACTCTATTTTTGGAATTTTAAGTTGAACATTTGAATATTGATGTTATATGAGTGTGTTTGAATTTTCACTATATGTTGGACCCAAGTACAAACTATTATTTTGATGTAATGTTATATGTTAATACTCATATGTTAGATGATATTTTATACAATTTATAAACCTATAAACAAAACAATAACGTTTTTCATATATATGAACTAAAACGATCGGACCATCAACCCTCAATCCACTTACTCTACCAGATTAACGAGCTAATATGGGTTGACGACCTTGGCAGGGGCCTAAGTTAGATGTCAGTTTACCATAACTTCATTAAAGAGAGAAGAAAATTTGACCATTGTGATATTCGGTATGTTTTTTTACTAATAAAAAAATGTTCATTTCGTTCATTAACAAAAAAAATCGAAAGAAAATTATATTGAGAGATATGGTACCATAAGCAGTAAAATATAGTACAAGTGAGTTAAGCTATTTATACATATGATGTTTTGTATGTCCTTTTAGCATAGGAGTGTACTTAAAAGTTTGGTATTAGCTATAAAATATCATAAATATATAATTTAAAGTGAATATAAATATAAAAATTATTAGAATATCAATTTCATTCCTTAAAAATATGTTCATTGTGTGAAGCATTAAATAAAAGATAAAGAAAGAGATGACTCTATAATATTATAAGACCATGAGGGGATAGGATACTATGCTAACCCCTAAAGGGGTAGTGATTTTTGACACCCCCTTTATGATTGGCCAATTTTATTTCCAATCATTGGCAAGTATTAATTAAACTGGTTTTTTATTTTTTTTAATCTTGTAATTTGGGGTCTCTCACCACATTGGAAAAGAGAAAGAATCTGGGGAAAAACGAAATCACCCCCATTAATTACATAATTAATTTCTCTCACTGGTACATTAATTACACGTACCACTCTACTGGTACACGTACCACTCCACTGGTACACGTACCACTCCACTGGTACACGTACCACTCCACTGGTACACGTACCACTCCACTGGTACACGTACCACTCCACTGGTACACGTACCACTCCACTGGTGCGAGCAATCCACAAGGTAGGTTAGAGTGAGAACAATACCAGTGCAATGATATTTTTCATAACAATGATAAACAATAACGGAGCAACAATGCAGTACCACTTCAATGATACAAATACCACTCCACTGGTACACGTACCACTCCACTGGTACACGTACCACTCCACTGGTACGTGTAATTAATGTACCAGTGAGAGAAATTAATTATGTAATTAATGGGGGTGATTTCGTTTTTCCCCAGATTCTTTCTCTTTTCCAATGTGGTGAGAGACCCCAAATTACAAGATTAAAAAAAAATAAAAAACTAGTTTAATTAATACTTGCCAATGATTGGAAATAAAATTGGCCAATCATAAAGGGGGTGTCAAAAATCACTACCCCTTTAGGGGTAGTCAAGCTAACCGAACCCGACCATGAGCGAGAATTGTAAATACATTTAGTATGTTTATGGGGTATTAACCAATTCTAACTAACTATGCGTGGCACATAACAGAAGTAACGTCCACGAGCGTCAACAATTACCACAAAGTACTTTGATAAAATGGGTTGACTTTTAGTATTGACGGTCAACCAATAAGTCCGTCAAAATCTAACTATCATGTTCTAAATTCATGCATTTATGCAGCAGCAAAGAGCGGCAAAAAGTTGATTTATCTATTGAATTTTTCTTTCTTTTTTACTTCCGACATATTACAATTTACAAGTGATGGGCTTGTATAATTTTTTTATTATTAATCACATATACATTACTGCAAAGCACGACCATTGATTTTTAGTTTATATTTAGAAGTGAAAAACACACAACTCGTTGATCAAGTGACGAAGCATATCCGAACATGATGGAAAATACTTACTTCAAGTTGTTTTTTTTTTTGTTATGCTTTTGGTTTTTACTATTTCTGTACGTATAATACCATTCATATCATATGATTGCACATAAGATAGTATATTGTGATGTCCTTTCTGTGCAAAAGAGAGGGTTATATCGTACATACAAGAGTCTTTCAATTCTTACGGTATAATACCATTCAACAGTTGATTATTCACGCAACACATGTATTGATACTAAGTGTGAACAAAAAGAGTCTCAATCCAACTCACTCGTCCAATCCGACCAACCCACTTGTATTTATCGATAAATTAAGGTTTAAGTCTGGATGTAGGTTTTGTATTGTACAACCCGATCCTTTTGGGCGAGGTGTGAATTTTGGGTTACACAACCTGCAGATCCCGACCCAACACGTGTTCCAACTATTGACACGAATATTCGTATCCAAAACATATTTGTGTCGTATATAAGCATATTTGTGAGAAAATTAAGATGCTCACCTACATTTTTCTCTCGTAGTCTCACTAAACTAATGCATTCTTCGACTTAAAACTTAGACGTAGATTTAACATATGCTTATGATTCACATAATATTTTTCTCTTTTGTATAATTTTAGAAGAATAATATATTATTGATGCGTTCATTTATAACATCTTTAGCTTATTTCGGCAAATGTTTGTGAAAAAATCTAGACATATGTTGAAGCAATTCGTGTTTTATTACAATCCAAATAACATCTATGCATTTTGATACTTTTCACATCGGTTTATTCATTTGGAATTTAATTAGTTACATAATATTTTTATGGTGTAAGATAATTTCTTTTTTGTATTAGGTTTAAGTTTTACTTAAAAGTATCACCAACCCTGACCCAACCCAATCCAAATAATTATAAACAAACCGTAGAGTTCTAATTTGTTTAAGTGGGGTTGGATTTAGTATTTTCAAAATCATAGTGCATGGATCAGGTAATTAAAATGGCTAAACCCGAACCATCCAACTCATGTGCAACCCTACATACAACACACTGGATATATTTTAGTTGTATGAATACCTCAAATGAGTAAATGACCGTTTTAATCTTGAAAATCTTTTGCTTGATGCCCCAAGTCATGTGGTATAACTATATACTTATTCCCAAATCTTTTGCTTTATTTTTTTTATTGGAATCATTAAAAAAATTCCTTCCAAAAATTCTCAGAACATTGAATATTTAGAATAAAGTGTGATTAAATGAAAAATCTCCATATATATAATGGGATATTCTATTGCTTTTTTATTTATTTTGGAAAATCATTAACATTACTATATTAGTATCAGGAAAATCAACCCTTTAAGGAAACACAATCGCAAATTCAATCTCTCTTTCCAAAATAACCAACGACGAAAGTAATATTACAAACTCACCTACCTCTGTTCTTTTCCTATATAAACCAAACCTCTAGTCTTCTGCATCTCACTCATTTTGCAAATTGATATCTATAACATCGATAGAGTGACAAAAAAACATATCCAAGCACGATGGAAAAGGCTAACTTCAAGCTGTTGTTCTGTGTTATGCTTTTGGTTCTCGCTGTTTCTGGTACGTATATTATTCGTTTATGTTATTTGATTGTACATGACGTGATAGTAAAGAACTTTGATGTGTTCACGAAAAAAAAAGCAAAATTTTCTTTGATCAATTTCATTTACTTAAACCGTCACCGAAAAATTAAATTTTGGTATTATAGGTGGGGAGAAGAACATCATTGGAGTGGAAGGGGGAAGAACAACACTGGACTGGCACGAGGAACTGCATTGCGTGAGCAGACCATGCAAAACTGATGCCGATTGCAATCCGGCAAGCCATTACATTTGTAATCAGGCATTAGGCGTATGTATATGCTCATAAAGAGCGGTGTATGCAAAGACGTTCTCGCCCAAACGTTAGATATGAATCTCTATAGATGAACTATTAGAGAGCGAAGTATGTCGTTCAACGCTAAATAACTGATGTCCAATTTTATTTGCATGGAAATCAATCAAATGCAAATTTTATTTGGCTAGTTTAATTTTCCCGTATCCATGAATCTCTAATTATAGAACGAATGACTTACCAATGCAATATTGGGCCACATTCCACAACGGATATTTCCCGCCAAAAGCCCAGTGGATCCATGGCGCGGGAAAGAATATGGAGACTGATTCAAAGTCTGCGCTTTCAACAAAAGTCAACGCTCTTAATTACCGAAAAAGTCAACGATCTTTCTTCTGCTTAAAAGATACTCCAAAGTTATTTCTTCTACGATACTTCAAAGCTCTTTTCCACGATCCTTAATCTCCGGTCCATGGCGTCTTTCTCCGATTCTGGTCCAACTTCTCTCCCCTTGATTTCGCCGTCGCCGTCGCCGTCATCCGCCGCCGTTAGGTATGAGGTTTTCGTGAGCTTCAGAGGGGAAGACACTCGCAGGGGTTTCGCCAGCCATTTGTGCGACGCGTTGTGCGGGAAGCTAGGGATTTCCCTCGTCTACAAAGACGAAGACAAGCTCGCCGGCGGCGATTCGATTGGGCCGGAGCTCCTCAATGCGATCGAGGAATCCAGAGTCGCCGTCGTCATCCTGTCGCGGAACTACGCTTCGTCGACCTGGTGCTTGGAGGAGCTCGTCAGGATCCTCGAGTGCAGGCATCTCAAGGGCCAAAGGGTTCTCCCGATTTTCTACGATGTGGATCCGTCGGATGTGAGGAAGCAAAGGGGAAGCTTCGGAGTTGGCCTGGAGAAGCATCAGCGGGATTTCGAGCAGCTGGAGAGATGGAGAAATGCCCTGACGGAAGTCGCTAATCTCTCCGGATTCACTTCGGCGGACTACAGGTTGGTAGCTCGCAACACATTTACAGATGCTGAAAGTCAATTCGTTTTCCCCCCTGCCTTAGAAGTTAGAATCGATTGGATTTGGTATGTTATGTTTAATGAATATGCTTGTTGTGAATTGTGATTGAAGAAATGATTCGGAGATGGTGAAGGACATTGTGGAGAAGATATGGAGGGAACTGATTCCTACATTTCAGAGTATCAGTAAACCCTTGGTCGGGATGGATAGGCGGGTGAGGGCAGTGATTAAGCTATTAGGTGAACGGGATAGGGATGTTAGAATGATTGGAATTTGGGGGATGGGGGGAAGTGGTAAGACATCAGTGGCCATGGCTGCTTATGACGCCATTCGATTGCAGTTCGAGTTCAGCACTTATCTTGCTCATGTGAGGGATGTCTGCAACTCCAACGGAGGGCTGCTTCATTTGCAGAGGCAGCTATTTGAGGGAACTGTAAGTCAGCCTGCAAAAGATTTGGAGGGATGGGGTTCTTTTGGCGCGATCGAGAGGCTGAAGAGGGCTTTTAGGGGGAAGAAAATGCTTCTTGTTGTGGATGACATTGACCACCAAGAACAGCTTGAATCGTTAGCTATGGAGCATAGTTCGTTTGGCTTAGGAAGTCGAATCATCGTAACCTCCAGAGATAGGCATATCATGGATGCTCATGGGGTTGATTCGACGTATGAGACCGAGTTGTTAGACAACGAGGAAGCTAAGGTGCTGTTATGCTCAAAAGCTTTGAATCCAGAGCAAGCCATGGAAGATTTCAAGGAGGTGTGTGAATGCGTTGTGGGTTATGCAGAGGGGCTTCCCCTAGCACTAGAAGTGTTGGGTTCTTCCCTTCGTGGAAGAAGTGTCGGTGAATGGAAAAGCACAATTGAGAAGCTGAAGAGAATCCCACCAGGCAAGATTCTGGAGGTGCTGAAAATCAGTCTCGACGGACTAGATGAAGAAGAAAAGCAAATGTTTCTGGACATTCTGTTTTTCTGTAGAGATTGGGAGAAACAAAGTGTTGTGAAGATACTTGAAAGCATGTATTTGGGTGTAAACATTGGGATTAGGAACCTTGTTGACAAATCACTGGTCAATGAAGGAGGCTCCAAGTTTTTCATTTCCCATGACTTACTAGAAGAAATGGGAAAAGCAGTAGTTCTTTCAGAATGTCCAGATGAGCCAGGAAAACGCAGTAGATTGCGAGGATATGAGGAAGTCTGTCATGTTCTTACCAAAGAAACGGTAAGCAGTAAATACATGTATGGAATGAGTATTACACTCTATACTAGGGCAATGATTTACATTGTTAACTTGTTGGGTTGCTTTTGTTTATTTTTTATTGCAGGGTAGTGAAAATGTCAAAGTGATGTACCTGCGGTTGCATGACCCAAAGAGGCTAGAATGTGGTGGTGAAGCCTTCAAGAACATGATTAATCTAAGATTGCTGAGGCTGGAAAATTTACAGATTACACAAGGGCCAACCTATCTCTCCCATGAATTACGAGTTCTGCATTGGTCCCCTTACCCTTCCAAATCTCTACCATCTAGTTTCAATCCTCACCATCTAATCGAACTAGACTTGAGTTTCAGCTGGAATTTGGAGCGTCTTTGGCATGGACATAAGGTGACAAGACAATAAGCCATTCAGTTATACATTTCCTAGTGTGTTAATAGTACTTGGTCATACTGATGTGTTTTCTATGTTCACAGGATTTGCCCAATCTAATTGTGATGAATCTCTCTCACTGCAAGAATCTAATTGAGACCCCTGATTTCAGTGGAACTCCTAACCTTCAGAGCCTGTATCTCAAGGAATGTGAGCTGTTGCCCAAGATTCATCCATCATTTGGAAACCTCAGAAAACTCAATTTTGCAGATCTCAAACAGCTAGTCTGTCTTAAGGCTTTTCCTACAAGCCTTGAAATGAGCTCTCTGAAATGTCTTCAACTTAGTGGCTGCTCAAAGTTGAAGAAGTTGCCAGATTTCACTGGAAACATGGAGTGCTTGGTTGAGCTTGAACTGGATGGCCTTGGAATCAAACAACTGCCTTCAACGATCGGATCATTGGTTGGCATGCAAACTCTACAAATCAAAGACTGCCATCAACTCAAAAGTATTCCACACAGCCTAGGCTGTTTGACCTCCCTTAAAGAAATTATTTTACAAAGTTGTCCACGATTGGAAGAGCTACCAATCTCATTGGGATCTTTGGTTGGCCTTAAGGAGTTGTGCCTTTGGCGATGTGACGGCCTCAGCAGTCTTCCGCCGAACTTGGGTTGTTTGACTTCCCTCGAAACACTTACCCTGGGAAGCTGTTGGAAACTGGAACATTTACCTCCATCAATGGGCAACTTACTCAGTCTGGAGTTACTGCAGATACACAATTGTGTGAACCTGAAAGATCTTCCAGACAGCCTGGGCTGTTTGACATCACTTAAACAACTCTATCTTGACTGTTGTGGTAAACTGGAGAAGTTACCCTCTTCACTGAAAGGCTTAATTGCTTTACAAGAGTTGTCGCTTCAATTCTGCCTCAGGGTTTGCTCGTTGCCTGAGCTTCCCTCCCAAATTGAAAGGATATATCTGAATGGCTGCATATCCTTGGAAGAAATTCCAGACACAATCAGTCTCCGCTATGGACTGCAGATGCAGTGCTTTGATTGCTTAAAATTAGATCATTACCCTACAAGTACCCTGACGGATCAGTCAGATACCTCAGCATTGCGGGCTCTCAAAAGATACCTTGAGGTACAGTGTGTTTCAGCTTTTTGCTAATAACTTAAGTAACGTGTTTTCAACTCATCAAATTCCCATCGCATCCCATTCTTTATTCTGGTCTATCTTTCATGTGAACTATATGCAGGGTCATCCTCATCCGCAAAATCATTGTAGCATTGTGACTCCTGGAATCAATGTAATTCCCGACTGGTTCAACTATCAAAGTCAGGGGAGCTCACTAACAACATTACAACTTCGAGATGATTGTCATAGTAACAATAATTCAGACTGGATGGGGATTGCCACTTCTGTTTGCTTCAGCGTTTGTTACTCCACCGGTGAATGCTCTGACGATCACATTTGTTCAATCCATTCTGACCTTGGATTCCTCAAAGTGTCCCCAGGAGTAGTGACAGAGGGGGCAAACCACGTCTGGTTATCCTACATTCCTAAGGATCCCAACAAGCCAAAACAGTGGATGCTGCAACCCAATATCGAGCTGTCGTTCAAAGGCGGTTGCTCGCATGTGAAGATCAAGAGATGTGGCTACCGGCACGTTTACCGCCATGATACTACTGAAGAAGAGTGCACCAACAACATGCAGGGTGTGCCTCTGCAGAGTGAGGGTCAACCATGGAATGATGATGATACTAGTCAGCGTCATCGTGTCAGCGTACTAGGTTTCCGTTCCAGTAAGAAGCAACAACATCTGATGTTAGTACCGAGAGGGAAAAGAGTCAACTGGGAACTAGCTTTACTCAAGTCTGGGTTATTAACCTCTCTCATTTGTCATCGTCGCCTGCAGTTAGTGCCGTGGCATGAACCAGTTGTACTGGGGGCTACTGCGATCAGCTTCATTCTCAAATTGTGTTCAAATTGCAGTAGGGTGTTTACTTCCCCTATCATCAGCTTTCCATTGTTGGCTCTTTTCCTTGTTCTGTTTGGGATTCTTTTCGTCCTTGGAAAGCCTTGAGTACAGCAGATACTTCATCTAATAATCTGCAAGTGAGCCGGATGGTTCTGTTTTTATGAACCGTTTGTGATTCAGGTGAGCCATTAGACTTGATCATCTTTCTTTTGACTTTTACATCCAATTATCTCATGTATATATCTAAGTCTGACTGAAGTTCACTCATTTTCACAGTAAAGAAGGGAAATACGAACGTTAAACATAAGGAGACGAGCAATAATTCCATGGATCATACACAAATAAACTCGAAGTGAAGCTCAGAGTCTGCATATGCTAAAGCATGTTTCAGTATGGTTAGTAGCTAGCGCTGCGAGTAACTGAGAACGGTGTAGATAGTCTGGATGGCAGTGAAGATGAGGAGTATAGTACCGCCAACCACTGATAAGGTCGTCCATGGATTCTTGAGGTGTTTCTTTCTCAACTCCAGCAAGTATCGATGCTTACGAGACTCGCATTGGGCTTCAATTCTGCTGCATAACTCAGCGAAATAGAAATTCTTCAATACAAAGTTCTGGCTTATGTTGTAGAAGATCTTATAGGCATCCTCCCTACCACCCATCTGATTGATTATGATTCCTTTGCTTTCCATTATATCAAGGTCTTCTTTGTGGCTGACGAGGCGCTCCATCAGGAACAGGTACGATGCAAAGTACTCATGTGAGTTGGCTGCATCTTCGGGATTACAGGAGCTATGCTCAAAAGCCATGAGATTGCTCAACAGTGATTCAGTGCACTCGTTGATCACCAAAGGTGGGATGCGGAAGACTCCATTGCAGAATTCCATATCCAGCAACATGCTCTTCCCTGCCTTCTCAAAACGTATTCCTGCTTCACTCAGTTTCTTAGCATTACGCATGTGCACTATGGGTGATAGTTGGAACATAGGAGGATGAGGAGGGAGATCAGGGTGACGTGAAGTAGGATGAGCGTAGTTGGATATGAGATCAAGCAGATGCCTATAATGTGGATGCTCATTTGCAGTTCCTCTTCTGAAGAACTCTTGGTGACAATTGAAGTCACTTTTGAAGAGGGCGAATGCAATTTCAGGGAGAGAGAAACCTTCTATATTGGTTGGCATTGCTATGTTATGACGGATGACTATGAACAGGCGTTCAAGCACGAAGAAAGGGATTTGATTTTCGAGCAGCGCCAGGTCACGCCGAAGGCCTGATGATGCAAAAATATTCCTGTACTCGATATCCAGCATAACCTCATCGACGCTGCAGTTCATACGATTGTTAGTGATGCCACTGTGTTTGAGGAAGACCTCGAGTAGAAAACAGGCATCGACAAGGATAATACTGGAGAGCAGCTCGCTAGATATATCCATCTCTGTGTAGTGATCGTCAACTAGCACTTCAATGACTTGATCCACCGCATTTTTGCACTCCTGAAAGGTGGTGTTGGGAGCCCTTGTCCTTTCCAGAAGGCGGAGCATGAACACTTGCTTGTGGCCCTCCATGGCTTGCAAATCAGCATTTCTATGCATGAAAGACGGCTCTCTGTGGCGGTGGAAAGGCCCTATGGAAACAAACTGAGGAGTGTATGCAAGTGGGTTAACTTTGAACATCAACTGGGGAACACGAAACATTGTCCATCCGGTTGCTCTCTTTGCCAAAGCAGCAGCTGTCTCCCGCAGGGAGTCTATGTTAATCGGGTCGTACTCGTAAGATCTCTCCTCGACTTGATCATATCCGTGATCACTTCCTGTCCCTGACCAACTTGCCGCCATAATGGGTTAGTATTCTCCTCTCTGCTTAAGCAAAAAAACAAGCATAACAAGAGAACGTATCATGGTTATGGTCAGTTGAAGAACACTGGGCAGAAATTGCAGAGAGATTTGCAGAACAAAAAAGATGAAGGTCAAAGTGGTGCTCACCTGCTAGATACTTGCAAGGTGAACTGGACGTGGTTGCTACGTCTGTTGATTTCAGCCAGGTAACCTGACCTACTACTGCCTTTGCTTACTTTCCTACACAACAGGACACCCTCTTTTATAATGCTGTTTCTCCAGGAGAGTACCATTGACTTCCCTTTTCTAGTATTTGTAATGTACTAGGTTGTTGAGAAATTGTCCTAGAAGTGCCCTGGCAGTTTCTGGGCCGGCTGGTAATCTGTTGAAGTGGAACTTCAGAATGTGACCATCCACTAACTATCATAAAGGTCAACTAGGCTGGTGTATTAAGTCTGATTCCTATCCTTTGTGTATAGTTTTTAGATCAATTCGGCAGACTGTCAACTAAGTTGTTCATAGAGTTTATATGTAAAATCCTGTTGCAACCCTCTTTAGAGTTAGTTTTCTTCGTTTTTGTAGGGTGTCTTCATTATGAAGTTATTACCTTAAAAAAGTTCATGGGTAGATGATTTCCTTCTAACTTTTCTCTCTTGTTATTACCTGGAACTAGAAAAAACAAAGTTTTGTGTATTAAGTAAGAACTACTTGTCTAGGAACCTACATTAGTTGGAGTAATTAAACAAAGAATGGCTCAATGTTGCAGCGAGCAAGGACTTGGTTGACTCGTATAATCACTGTTTTTGAATCTGGAAGTTACATAACATATTGTTTTTAAATCTTTGAAATATGGTTAAGTGGGAGTGTAAATAAATGATGTAATCTCTTGCTTTTTAAACAGCTTTCAATAATTCAAGTTATTAGCACGAACTGCTACTCGACCTCATCAAATACTTGTGCTATAGGAATGAGTCAAAATCGAAATTTCTTTAGTGAACATTGTTGGTTACTGCTTGGAAAGCGAATTTTTATTTATTTATGTTTCTAAATTCTTTTACAATTACATGTGAATGAAGAGTCACTTATTCTTCAATTACAGTTAGCCTATGGACCTCTCAGGACTACAATTATCCAACTGAAAAGAGTAAAAAAAGAAAAAGAACCAAATACATGAATTGAACACTTTGGGAAAAAAAATTCAACCACCCTTTTTGTTGTAGTGCTTCACAATACCCGATCTACCACCAATGTCTCTTCTTTTCACCATTGGTCACCACTTGAAGAAGAATCTATGTCTTTGATTCACCCAAATTAAAGCCATCAATTATCTGGTCAAGTCCTCCTTAATGCTAGGTAAGCCAAAACTCTATAACCCACAAACATCAGCACCATTGCTCCAACACAAACCCAAGGGCTAATTTGTCCTTCTAGATCTTCTCTGATAAACTTGCAATCTGGTCCAACATCCCTGTAGTTGTTACCATTTCGCCCCGAGCAACCAAATGCTTTTGCAATTTGCTCCCCGTTGCCATACTGAACGTTGATGAACAATCTATAAGTGTAGAAGGTGCTCGAGATGTACTTGATCCACGCCATGCAGGTCGGGATCTTGTGAACGTAGAACCCTCCGGTAAGCACAAACGCTAGCATCGTCACATTAGCCATCGTGGATGCCTGTTTGGCGTCCATGATGGCTGCCCCCAGGGCAAGACCTAGACCTTGAGACACGAGCACGTAGCCCAACAAGATGAGTAGGGTGAGGAGGAATGCGCCCAAGTCGGGCTTTAGCCCGGTCATCCAGTAGGCCATGGTTATGAAGATGGTTGGAAGAGCTAGCTCCATGGGCATTTCACCCACGATTCGAGCCATGAAGTAAGAGGAGAGGCTGTACATCCCAGACGCCTGCTCCTTCATGAGGATGGCCCTCTCTTGTGGAAAGGCAAAAACCGCGTTGAAAGCAGGCAACACACCCCAGAAGATGGATATGAAGAACAACAAGCCCAACCGATCCTGAATGTCTCGAAAATCGGAGTGCCACCACATCAGACCCGCCAAGAGGGCACCAACAAAGACCTGGAAGACGCGGAGGGTGTTGAAGGACTCGTGCCTCCGCTCCTTCAGGCTCCTGTGGAGGAGGACGGTGAACTGGTTGAACCACACGGTCATGCCAACTCTCTGGTCTTCTCTCCCTCTCCCCAAGTGTCTTGTGGATGAATTGGTGCCAGTATGGCCTTTGATGAGGTTGGATTCCTTTGGCGTGGCTTCCAAGCAAGCGGATTTCAACTTTGGTGCTAGTATTGCATTGTATGAGGCCATGAGGTGCTGCTTCACGTTGGGTTTATCCCTTTGATCACCGACTCCATCAAGATGGCAAACCCCTGCAGCAAGCAAAGATTAGAATGCTAAATGGTCAACTTAATCCATTACTCTAATCATCTACACTCAAAACACTATCTCAGTGTTCTTTTTAATCGACCCTTTTGACTTCTTCAGGAGTTGTTAATTATGACAGTTTAGAATTGTTCTCCTTGTGTGCTGGTGGAATAAAGAACAGTACTATCTGCATTAATCAAATCATGTAATTATTTGCAAGCCAAGGAACAGAAACCTAACCAACTTAAGAGGCAACTACAGAAAAAAGGGCATAGGCCGCTAAGAAAACAAAGGATCTTGGAACCAAAATTTGTGCTTTGTTAATAATGGATACATTGAATTAGACACACAAAGGTATGAAGGAGCATATAGAATTGGGAATGACAACTAACTATGCTTTGCTTGAAAGCACAAATGGAACTAGATCTTCCTATTGATCATATGATTGAAAGAGAATGATGAACGAATGAAAAGGGGAAGATGCTCTTTCAACGGACGTTGATATCATTCCTCCCATTTCATTAGAGCATATGCTAAACACAAAGGGCTAATGGAACCTATAGTCATGTATGATGTCACATGAACAAACCCTAGACACTATATTATGATACTTAATAATATATATGGTACAATGTCTTATTTTGTTTATTTCTTTATTAGAAATCCTATCCAATTTGTTTACAAGTAAGTCGGATGAAATCTCATACTTAGTAAGTTATTCTGCTTTGCCCCTCAACCCAACTTCTAAATCTCACATCGCGCTTATGTTTCCGACCCCATCTAGGATTTAGTAACGACAGACCTGACTAGTGCAGTGAGATTGACTTCGTAAATCGTATATGCTGATAAAAAATATCAGTGATATGTTTTTACCCAAATACCTGCTTACCTAAATATTACGGGTATGAAAAGACACATGACCAGATAAGAGCTAAAAAAAATGAATAAATTACAACATTATGCACTAAAAATGATGATAACCCTTGATTAATCAAAAGACACAACTATCTTGTTGACCATCCATGGTCTCATGGATCTTTTGATTAGGAGGTCAACAATAGGACTAGTGGGCAAAAATGAATCAAGTAATGATTAGAATTAGGAATTGGATTAACATGATCATAATAATAACACAAAGCAAAAACAAAGATGACCAGTCTTGGTGGCATAAGGTGGGAGTCCACTTTCAATCTACCAAAGCTTTTTTTTCCCTACTAGTGATGGGTGCTGCCACTCAATCAAAATTAGTGTTCACTTTCACTCTATCAATCTAATTAGTTATGTTCCCTTTGATTTTTTTGGGTCATAAAGAAATCCCACTAAGGCAAAAGAACAACTTCTGCAACCCTACACGTGTTGTTTTCCAACACATCCCAACTATTCCTTTTTTCAAAGATTTGGAAAATAAAGGGGGATAAATTCTTAGACTGTACTAAAAATAATTGACGTCCTACAAAGCTTTATAAAGTATGGCAAGAAAGAAGAATGCTCAAAGAAAAGAACCAAAGCAAAGGGGGAAGGAAAAAAAGGCAACCTAAAGAAGTTAATTGTTTAACCCCAAAAGAATCCAATAATATAATGACACACATATGGCTTGTCCATTCATAGTTTTTGTTGAAAAGATTCTAAATACATAGGTAATTAACCAATTATTAGCCATGTTTGAGATTCATTCCTATGATGTGTAAAGTTTGCTTAGAGTCTTTGGAAAGTAGTAGTTATGGTTCTCCATTTGTAAACATAAAATCATACGACTCTATTTAGCGACATAAGTGAGAAGAATAACAAGCAAGTTAAGTGTGCTGATACATTATGAAAAAGGTTGACAAGTGCATTATAACCGTTATAAAATTTGAGACAGACTTCTGAACTTGTGTTATAGATCATACCAGGTTTTTTTGTGGAACCTGATTAATTTTGAATACAAGTTAGTACCATTTTACATATGAAGTATCTAAACGAAAGGGGAAATGTTTTTTTGGCAATAGTAACCAACCTTTCATCCACATCACAAAACAAAACTATCCATGAATGGATATAATATAAGAGATGGAAATGGGAGGGTGAAAGCCAAACAATGATCCAAACCTAAAAATCTTCTCCTATTCCCTTTTAATTTCTTTTTGCTTCCCTTTTTTTCCCATTCTGACAATGCTTTCTCACGCCATGAATGTCATCACGGCCAAATATATCCCCATCTCTTATATCATAATACTGGAATTGGGAATTTTGATAATTAATTAGTTAAATTGAGATTTGATAACTTAACCACCTTTTCTTCTCTTTTGTCCCTTTCAAATGAGATCACTCATGATCCCATATGTATATGCACCCATTGCAGCTAGTACTATACCATTATAGTATTAGGTATTAGGACACATCCATCGTACCGTTAATGTATTATACGTCCGAAATCAACCAATGTTCGCTATCAACAAAACTGTTTTTTGCAATATTACAAGTTAAAAATTTCCACATATATGCAAACAAACAAAACTATCCAACTTATTAGGACACATCTACCATACAAAACTACCCAACAAAACAAAGCACGTGGACACCAATTAACAGCTTAATCTATGTTTTCCTCCATATAACAGGATTAATATTAATTATTAATTAAGATGCCCTAATCACATCATGATCCCAAGTTATTAAAATTTCAAAATTTTTTTTTTTTGAGTTTTTTTGTCTTTGGAGCTTTTCTTTCAACTTATCAGGTATAATAATTAAAGGGAAAAAATCCCACTAACATAGCTTTTGGTTTTGTTCTATTCCTTAATCCTTAAATTGTCTTCAAGCCATATATATTTACTGTCCTAACCTTTTCCTTTAGGGGCAACAAAAGTTATTAACTTATTATCAAAAATATGTTCGCTCACACTAGAAGATTTACTTATAGGGTAGTTTCTTCCTCCAGATAATCATGCTATTTTTTTTGCAAAAGAGAAATTTATACTTGTTACGTCTCAAAAGTTTCATTATTCGGTACATATTCATTATACTATTTATATACTAAATAAATAAAAATTCCACACGTACGGAAGCGGAAAAGGAGAAGGAAATCGGGCGTACCGTTAGCGAGATCGAGCATGAAATCGGCCGGATTCATCGGAAAACACGGCGAGCAACCAACCGACTCGAAATAACCCATCGCCACGTCCCCACCTTTCCCAAAATACAAGCTCCGCCCTTCGCTCAGGACCAGAACCGAGTCGAACATCCGGTACACCCGGCTCGACGGCTGGTGGACCGAAGCGACCACGGTCCGCCCGCCTTTCCTCGCCAGCTGTCCCAAAGTCGCCACCAGCCTGTACGCCGCCGTCGCGTCCAAACCCGACGTCGGCTCGTCCAAAATCAGCACGCTCGGGTTGATCAGCAGCTCGTGCGCGATGCTCACGCGCTTCCTCTCCCCTCCGGAAACTCCGCGCACGAATCCGTTCCCAATTATAGTATCCCGAGCCCCAGCTCGGCAATCGCCCACTCCGCCGCGGCCATCTTCTCGTCCCTGGACGAGTAGGTGGCCCTGAGTAAGGCGCAGAAGACGAGCGTCTCCCGCACCGTCAGGTGCGGGAACAGCACGTCGTCCTGCGCGACGAAACCGGTCCGCCTGGCGAGCTGCCTGGCGGACAGTTTTTTGGAGGCTGCGGTGGTGGCGGCGGCGAGGATGGTGCCGGTGACGACGCCGCCGCGGTGACGACGGCCGGCGAGCGCGTGGAGGAGAGTGGACTTCCCGCTTCCCGAGGGGCCGAGGACGGCGAGGATTTCGCCTGGCGAGGCGGTGCCGGTGATGCCGCTTAGTATGGTCCGCTGCTCGATTGCCGCCGTCGATTTCTCGTGGGGAGATATCAGCCGTCGGATGGTGCTGCCGGTGTTGCTTGCGCTGGTGGGGAGTTTTACTCTGTAGCAGAGGTCCACGAACTGCCCATGCATCCGCAGAGAGGAAAGAAAAAGAAAAAAAAGAGGTCAAAATTGAGTCAAACGTGAGGGTGGAAGGAAAAGAGAGAAAAAAAAAAGTAATGATCATAGCTTTTGAATCGATATATGCGATTTGAGTTTCAGATCGAACTGAAACAAAAAAATGCATGAATTCAACGATGTCAGTACGCGTTGAATGATCGTTTGTTTGATGCGGATTACGAGAGATCGAGTACCTTGAGAGTGATGGGAGAGGAGACGGAGGAGAGGAGGAAGGCGGCGGCGGCGGGGGAGGGAGTAGTAGTAAGGGCTTGTTTGGGATGAGGTTGGGGAGTTTCCATTGGAATGGTTATGTGGGAGGGGGTTGTTTGAACTTTGAAGTGGGGAGCCAAACAGGGCTTTTGTTAGTTAGTTATGAGTTGAAACGGGAGAGAGGGAGAATGGGTATATAAAGGAAATGGGGGGAAAGGTGGCGGATGGGTGCCACGTCATATGGCGGGAAAATTAATGAGGAGGGAGTGCTACGTGGCGGGCTGCCACAGCTAGCTAGTTTTGGGTGGGGGTTTTTGCATTTGCTTTTAGTTTGTATAGGTTGAACAAAGGAGGTCATAGTAAGAATTCAAAATCATAATCTTTCGGTTGAACATATCATCTATTAGCACTCTAGACCCTCCCAAGAGAAAGCGATTACAACCAGACCCAGAACACGAACCCAAAAACAACATTGAGTCCATACATCATGGATTGAGAGCGTTGCGCCAGATAGTCCGATTTAAGTAAAACCTGTCCTCTCAACAAAAGAAGAGACACCCAACCTGCTGAAATATTTATGCTTTCTGCTGCTAAATTGAATGTTCTTTATTATGTCACAGAAAACCATGTTTGGTAAATCTTGCTTCAATATCTTTTAACAAACTTGGGAAAATTCATAACGTGTAGGTAGCTCTTGCATAGAATACGTGATCAACAACAACAACTTCAGTGCAAGCTTTTTGGAAGAAGTAGATGCCAGGAGTAATGCAAAAAAGTAATTTTTTATGGGGGGCAAAATTAAACTACGCTTTCGGTTTTCAGAGAGCAGTATTTATTAACGAATATATGTGAAAGAGTGAGGAGTTGTGATATTTTGATGTGCGGTGGCATTGTGATATTTTTATCATATTCAAGATCTATATGTTATTGTCATACATATCTCAACTGTTAATGAAGATCGGCTTATTCCCGATATAATTTGATGTAATATTTTTAATAACATGATAGGTGAAACCATCTCAAACTATATAATGAAATCACTTGAATCAAGGATTTGGATCGTGGATTTGAAGTTTGGATTTGGACTTCAAATCCAACACTAGTGAGAGTTGAACAAATCCAATGTTCGGGTGAATACAAAAATGGGTATACCCACGGATTTGGGAATTCCACATGATTCGGTAAGATTTGAGAGAGAGGAAAGAATTCAGTGACGATCGAGCAAGCTAAGCGACCCATCATGAACAACAACTTGCCTGTTCTGCGGATTTTGTAAACAGTCGGATCATATATATAGAGATCGTACTTGAGATCTTCTGACCTATGTACGTTTAATTTCGTTATTGGAAAAATGACGACATAGCTATATAGCTGTAGAACACAGGGGAAACAAGACAGAAACGTGAGTTACAGGTATGGAGACTGGTGCAGGAGAAACAAGAATGGATGGTTGGAAGTTGGAACAATCATCAAGTTCACTTATCCCATTAGACAATTCACCTTTCTCTGTTTTTTTTCTTCTAAATTCCTAACCTACAATCCACCAAGACATGTGTACACAGTGGCAGCATCACAAAGCCACAGATTGGAGAGATTGAAAATGCCCTTTGCTTTGAAGTTTCTAAACTTCCCTTTCAGGGGGAATTCCAATCTTATCTGAACAATGCATTCAATCAGACTCAGGAAGCTAAGAGATAGAGATAGACTCAGACTTCTGAATAGAACCATAAAGGAACTGTTCTTCCTAAATCCTACCCATAATCTTCATCAACAACGACATCATCTAGGCAGTGCAACAACAGAGGTAACAAAATCCGGAGATCATGAAAGATCAGAGGAGACATGATCATGAAAGATCACAACTTCAAAATGCAGGGGAATTTTTTAATGCAGGGGCATCAAAAGCAAGCAAACTCATTCACAGAACCAACATAAACACACGAAAGCTAACAAAGCAAGCAAGCAAACCAGATGCAGAGAACTCCTCCTCCTCCTCCTCCTCCTCCTCCTCCTCAGTTTTGTGGCGAGGAAGGGGCACCGGTAGACTCGTTCATGTAGTAATCAAGCAACTTGTTGTGGCCAGATGATTCAGCCCAGCTCGCGGAGGCCATAACTGCAGACTGTGCAGAGATCAGCTTTTCCAGCTTAATTATATGATCGCGTTCCTTCTTGGCGGCCTCAACATCCAAATCATTCTCGTCGGCGAACATATCCGCATCTAGATGCTGAGTCTCTCTCATATCACGCATCAAGGCCTCCGCATCCATCTTCGTGTACACCACCGGCGCAATCTTCTTCCACGAATCATGATCCTTCCTCCTTCGCCTGCCCTGCTGTCTCTCTTCCAGAGACAGGGGTTCCATAGACAGCTCCTCCGCCGCCGTAGCGGTTGCCCTAGCGGTAGCCATTATATGAATCAGCCTCAAGGACGCAAAGGGGAAACCCTAATCAGGGGTTTTATGTAACGCACGGACGGAGTAGGTATCTGTTACGGTGATGTGAGGTAGGGGATGGCGGTTTTTGAGATTTTTCGTAAAAAGGAGTAAAACGCAAAGAACTCTCAAACGAAAATAACTAAAGAAAAGCAAATAAAGGAGATACTATCATTAAACGAAAGACATATTACATATTTATAGGCTTAGATACCTCTACCTTATCCTAGCTAGAACGTGACTCCTACTTTTCTAAGGAAACGACTAACAATAACCAAAACTCACTTGAACAAGGAAACACTAATTAACACTATAATAATAAACTAATACTAATAGATATGCAAGCCCAGTCTTCTACGAAACGCTACAATGGCCCGATATCATAACAGTATCTTTCCGGCGATTGGAAGGAAGGATACGCTGAGGAGGAAGAAGAAGAAGACGAACAGGAGGAATGAGAGATTAGTAGAGAAAAGAGGGAAAAATTCTATTTGTCTGACCTTCCATGCAAGCAACACTTATCCTTTTTATATGGATAAGTACGTTAATGGTCTTGTTGAACGGAACTGAAAAGGTCGAGGGCAAAAGAAAACAAAAGAAAGATATAGTTTTGCGTGGTTAAATTAGAGTCAGTAGGGCTTGCCATTCGGTTCTCGGTTGGTGGATAACCGTTGGTCATAATCGAAACTTCTGACCAATTACAGGCTAACCGCGAAAACTGATAAGATATAGTATTGGTCGGTGTCGGAGGGGAAATAATAAGGGGTTACGGACTTACGGTTAGTCGATTAATCGGTGGAGATAACCGAACCCATCGAGTACAAACCAAAATTCGGTCTCCACCTTCGTCCTCCCTCTTTCCCTTTCGTCCACCTCCTTCCTTCTTCTTCCCGTCGACAGCAGCAGTCGAGACTCGCGAGCACGAGCAGGTCAGCAGCCCGAGACTCCCAATCCAGTCGTTCGTCTTCGTGTCGCGCCATTCATCCTTCCTCGTCACCAGTCGTCCGTTAATTTAGGTGATTTTATATGCAGGTTGGGGTGTTATCGAATCGGTTACCGGTGCGTCACTTTCTCAGTTACACGACTAACTGTGATTATGATCGATAACCGACCGGTCAGTTAAGCAGTGAACCGAAGCTAACAGTCGATCGGTGCGCTCGGCAGCCACTTCACTTCACTCATATTAAGTAAACTGCACATCCTTAAAGGAGCTTTGGCATAGATGGTTATGCGAATCTTGATTCTAATTCAACCATCTGACAAGGAACAGAGTGTTTAACATGCCCAAGGAGATACATCCAAGTAAGCTGGGTCACAGAATTTACAGACTTGGTATAGCTAGTAGGAAGGGAAGAGCAAGGAGATGCAGTATAGTTATCTACTTCTGCTTACTAGATAACCACAATCAAAGTGCCTAAAAGTGGAACATAGGCACAATCAAAGAATCAAACACATTTACTGCAAAGTGCTGTTCTTTCTTTGCATTAAGAACACAGATCAGAAAACAATAAACGAGTCATGATCATGAAGCTCTTGTTCAGCCGCGGTCGGGTGAGTTCTACTGTCAGTGTGCTCCAACCAGATTAAAAAATGGATGGTTGAGACTAAAAAGAAGTTGAACCTCCAGTTAGATCATCAATCACAAGGGACAGTGTCTTCCAGGACTACATACCCATAATCACCAACTAATACAAGACCACAATTTAGGGCCACATTATGGACTTGCAGCAGATCGACGGATTGCAGCACGCAAATTAAAGATTTCATGCAACTATGGGGCTCGTTTGAGAAGGTTAGGGTTTCAAATGGGATATAAAAGGCACTTCTACATCATATAGAAAAAAGAAAAGTGGAACAGGAAGTAGACAAGGATTGCTTCATAATCAAGAAATCCACATTGTGATTCAATCATATGCATACCATAGCAAGAACATGTTACAGCCCCCATCTATCCACAGTTTACATGTAAAACAAATGAATTATAACACCGTATTTCAATTGGTAAAGCACAAAAGGAAATCTCATATCTCAACTAATCATCTCAATGCAAAAATCGTGCAAGAGAAACAAGAATGGCGGCTGAAACAATCAAGTTCACTATCCCATTAGACAATCACTTGTCTAGTTTTAGTCTAATCTAGAATCACCGAGGCAAGTGCACACAGTGGTAGCATTACAAGCCACAGATTGGAGATTTGAATGACCTTTGCTTGGAAGTTCCTAACTTCCTTTTAGGGAAATCCAGTCTTACCTGACAAATGCATTAAATCAGCTGACACAGGAACCTAAAGGGAGATTCAAACAACCATACAAAACCAAGAGACAGCACAGCAGCGTGCAAATGATAGTAGGCAAAAGATGAACAAACAATGGCATCCGAGCCCAAAGAGCACTAAAGCCTCACAGAATAGCAGGGCATGGACATTTTTCAGCCAAGAGTGCAACATATTTCAAATTATAATTAGGCAGACAAAATCATAAAGGAACTGTTCATAACCCTATCTTCACCAACAACGACATCATCTAGGCAGTGCAACAACAGAGGTAATAGAATCCGGAGATCATGAAAGATGACAACTACAGAGGAGACATGATCATGAAAGATTACAACTTCATAATGCAGGGGAATGTTTAAGGTCGGATGATTAGGATGATGATGGGCAATGAAGATGGCTAAGAATGAAGCCTTGATAGCACAGCAAGAGGAATACAACACTACTGAAAGAACACATCTGAAACCAATGATGCAGGAAAAGAGTAGTCAATAATAACAAGTCTTATATTCCATAGGAACCGGATTTATAGTCACAACTCACAAGAGATAAAAAGCCATAAGAGATTAAGAGTGTTCCGCATAGTAGGTAGGACGGCAAAAGCCATAAGTATCCATAGCCAAGCTGCTACTGCTACTGCAACTACTCATTCACAAAACCAACATAAACCAGGAAAGCTACCAAAGCAAGCAAACCAGGTGGTAACGGACCGGTGATCATCAGATACAGAGAACTCCTCAGTTTCCCGGCGAGGAAGGGGCATCGGTAGACTTCTCGTTGAGCCCAGATGATTCAGCCCAGCTCTCGGCAATATAGTTATCCTGCTTACAACCCTTTTAGTGAGTATATACTCACACGGGCAGATTGGTGTCCACGTCGCCGAGCCGTGAACGGAGGGTGGTGGAGCAGTGGCGCCGGATTGTGAGGGTGGAGAGGCTGATCGGCTCAGTTGTCTAAAGCCAGTTTCACTTATCAGAAAAAGTGGGTCCACTTTTTTCAAATTTCACCCACTTTCTCTAATAAACCCACTTTTTCACTTCTCTCTCCATCATTCTGTCCATTTCTTTCCTCTCTCCAAAAATAAAAAAGCTTCCTCTTCCCTTTCTCTCCAGCAAAAACTTTCTCACTTCCTCTCAAGAATATGACGATGACGGCGGCTGGTGCACGCGACGGTCCTTGACGGCGACGAAGGTTTGAACGGCGACGACGGTTAGTTTGGGTGCGTGCGGCGGCTGGTTTGACAGCGACGGTGCAGACATGGGGTGCTCGCGAAGGAACGACCGGTTTGACGCCGAGGAAGCTACCATAGTTTATTGACGGCGGCGCGACAATCCTTGACGGAGGTAGGCTTCTTCTCCTTCCTTTATTCATGATACGAATGTTCGTTTGCTTCGATTCGAGTTAGGATTTCATGGATTCGACTGGATCTAGGTTTTTCTTTTCCTTCGATTTCTTTTTCTTTGATTTTTTAATGGATTTTTTGGATTTGTTTTCTGGTTTCATGGAAACCGCCAGATCTGGATTTTTTCTTTTGCTTAGTTATATCGGATGGGTATTTGTTTTCTGTGGCATGGGATATCATTATAAACTTGCCTGGATAGGTTTATTTAGTATCTGGATGTCAATTCATTGATATTAGTTTTGATCAGTAGTGATATCAGTTGTATACTATCCTGGATATTTTTTTTATGTATCCGGATATCACCTCATTGATATTAGTTGTCATATTAAGGGATATAAGTTTTATGATAGATTGGATTTTTGTTTGACGAATGTGGATCTGACTTTATTGATATGACTTCAGAACGTTAGGGATATTGTTCATGTGAAGCCCAAATATTAGTTAGCTTATGTTAGGATATTTGTTTGTGCAGGAAAATCAAAATGGCAAGAATTGGTTCGTTTTATGGTTGATATTACTTTGTTTCATGCTTGATATTTGTTCTTTTCATGTTGGATATTAGTTTGATGTACATTGATTCGCTTTACGGTGGATATTAGTTCATTCGTGCTGGATATTTAGTTAGTTTCATGTTGGATATTAGTTTTGTCATTTACTGGCATGATATTAGGTATGCCATTGGTGGATATTGTTTTTGGTTTGTTTGGATATTACTCTGGATGTATGGATTTTATATACCTTATATTAGTTGTGTGGCGGGGATATCAGTTGATTGATACCTAGATATTTATCTATGATTCCAGGGATATTGGACAATGGCAAGAACTAAAACAAAAGCGAAGAGACCGCAACTAAGAGAAGGACCAACCCAACCTCGTCGTAGCATGATCGAAACATGGGGGGCTCGGAGGGACATGATCAAAAAGATTATCTAGAGTTTGGCCAAGCAAGACAACATTTGAACTATTCCTTTTTCGTTTTAGATGTGGTTGTACTTTTTTATGTGGTTGCCAAGTTGGAATGACATTAATACTAGTTGTATCGCGGTTTGTCGAAAAACGGCTTTGTTTTATATGGATTTGTTTAAACTCAATATCAACACAAACAAACATAGATAAACATCCACACAAAACAAATATTCAAACCACCCACACTAATATGGGTTCACCATAACAAATATCCACACCACCCAAACTAATATCCCACCGTCTAATACCAATATCTAGTCATTCCATAATTAATATCTTCACCATCACAGACTAATACCCACTACACCCAAACTAATATCTGACCATCGTGAACTAATACTCACTATGCAGAAAAATACCCACACATCGCAAACTAATTTCTTCACATCACATAATAATATCCTATCACCACAGACAGATATCGAATCACCCTACATTGTGTTCATATCCATTTCCACAACATCATCTTCTAAACCCTAAACCAAAACAACCCTCACTCTAAACCCTAAAAAATATCCACACCATCCAAACTAATATCTCACCGTCTCAAACCAATATCCAGTCATTGAAAAATGTAATATCTCGCCAACTCTAAAAAATATCCACACTATCGAAACTAATATCTCACCATCTCAAACCAATATCCAGTCATTGAAAATGTAGTATCTCGCCATCACAGTCAAATATCCACAATACACAAACTGATATCTGATCGTCGCAAACTAATATCCGACTACACAGACAAAATATCGAACCACCATACATTGTGTTATAAATCACCAACCTAAAATCTAACTCCTAAGTAGGTCAACTCAATGTAGTTGTAATTAGTTGGGGGGTTTTGAAATTATTTTGGTGAAAAATAAACATTAGCTTTGTGATGTAAAAGGAGGATGGATACTCTTTTAGACAAGCACGAATATTATTAATCAGAAGGTCTAATAGGAACAACCATGCAGACTAATATCCAAATGAAGGAAACAAAACATCTAATCACGCAAAACTAAAATCACGCAAAACTAATATTATGTTACATAACAGGCAAAACTAATATCCATCCTTTATCGAACAAATACCCATTCACCCCAAAACAAATATATGTCCTTTATCGAACAAATATCAGTGGCGCCCGGACTAACATTCATCCACCCAAGATATAATATCCATCCTTATGCGAACAAATATCATTGACACCCTCACTAATATCCAACCACATAAATTAATATCCGAAATCACAAACGGATTAATATGTGGGTATATTGGGAAACCAGTATGTTAGGGTGGATGCTTAAATAAATAAAGATGATATTTGAATAGTTAGGACAAGGCTCACATGGAAATAGTGACCATAAGGTTCACATGTGAATAATTACAAACTAATATCCATCGCATATAATATAAGTTCATAAAACAAACACCCATACCGCCCATACAAACACCAATTCACCCCAAAACAAATATCTGTTTTTATCGAACAAATATCCATGGCTTCCAGACCAACATCCATCCACAGTAGAAATAATATCCACCCTTAAACGAACAAATATCCTTGTCAACCTAACTAATATCCAACCACATAAACCAATATATGAAATCACAAACAGACTAATATCAGGGTCTGGAAGACACACACTCCTACTATTATTGATTCATTGGCCTTCGGCGGGCAGCCCTAACTAAGGTTGCAAGCCTTATGTGTGAGGACTTGATAGTGTGTTTAGTTTTGATGGAAGACGCAATTAATTCACAAACTCATATCCATCGCATATAATATTAGTTCATGCAAATTCATCAAAAGCAACATCTCTCTCATGTGAAAATTCATCAAAAACAACAAAAATAGCAGATGGTGGGCCATGTTTTTCTCTCTCTTTTGTCTACTCACACGGATATTAGTTCGTGCACTTTTGGATACTTATTTGTCTCGGCTGGATACGAGTTATCTCAGCGGCTCCCTCTCTCAATCCTGCCCAAATCAAATGTGGCCCCAAGCCACCTTGTTCAGCTCAGTCGGCTGGGCTGACTTGTGCAAAAAAGCCAACAAATAGCTCACTTAAATGAGTCATGGCTGGGCTGATCCCTCAACCCTTGGATTAGAACTGGGCCAACATGGACAAATCTAGGCCTTGTGAGTATCTACTCACAAAATACCTTGTGAGCAGATTAACTTTTGCGGCTCTCGGAGTCCATATCTTCAGTTTCTTCAGACAGCATCTTCAACACCTCATTTCTAAGCTGGCGAAGCTTCTTGGCCTCACCATCCAACTCATTACGGTCGGTGAACATATACTCATCTAGATGCAAAGACTCTCTCTCATCACGCATCCAGGCCTGCACTTCCATCTTCCGCGAATCAGAATCCTTCCTTGGCCTGCGCTGCTGATTTTCTTCCAGAGAGAGGGTTTCCAGAGGCAACTCCTCCGTCGCCGTAGCGGTAGCGGTAGCCATGAATGAATCAACCTCAAGGACACAAAGGGGAGACACGGATCAAGGGTTATCGTCAATGGATCGGGAAAACAAAAAACGAATTGAAACCAACAAAAAGTAATCAAAGAGACAAAGACTACCTCGGGAAGAAATCTCTCCGGCTTTTGATTTTGTCAAAAAAGGAGGAGAACATTACAATTTACTTGACTCCAAATAAATATAACATGTCAAAAACAAATGAAAACCCTAACGAAACAAATTAAGGCCCGGCCTGGCCCCTGGACTTGCGGTAAGACCCGGCCCGGCCCACGGACTTGCGGGACTTAGTTTAGACTTTAGACCGAAGAATTTCCTAAAAACAAAAACAAAAAGAATATTTGCTGGTTTCTTTTCGTGCCCTTCCCCTCCAAGTCCCGCCGGACTAAACTCCAAGAGCAAGAGCAAGAAGACATATCCTTCAATCGCCGGCCATGATTTTCGACACCAAAGTTTCCGATCGCCGCATATGGGGCTCTCCGGCTGTTCCTCCGGTTTCTGCCGACCCAGAGCAGCTCTTGGCATCTCTCGCTGAGGTTACTCATGCTATTGGCCACAAGCTAGAAGGGTGTGTGTTTTACACACAGAAGAAAAATGTCTCCAGACTGGCGACATTAGTGACCGATCTCCTTACTTTCTTTGAAGGATTAGAGGAGGAAGAAGAGTTTCTTTTCCACAGTCAAGTATCTGCTTCCCTTTCAAGTCTTCTCTTCACGCTCCAAGAAGTCGAATACCTAGTAGTTGAATGTTCGAGGAAAGAAACTTCAATGTGGATGCTCCACCAGTTGGGTTTCGTCGTGGGGTTATTCAGGGCACTCACCAGTGACATTGGCAAGGTGATGAAGGACTTGCCACTTTGGATTCTGACTAGTAGACCTTTGGAGAACCTGGGGAGATTGCTTGCCCTAGGAGCTGCAGAACTTGAATATGAACGGGATCGGAGGGATAAGGTTGCGGCCAATGATCTCAAGGAGATTTTGTATGACCTAAACAAGGTATCATATCCGGACGCTGGCAAGGTAAGAAGAATCCTCAGCCACCTTGGAATTGACTGTTGGACGGACTGCCAGAATCAAATTTTGTATATCGAACAGTGGCGGACCCAGAAATTTTTTATAGGGGTGTCCGCTTTTAAAATATAAATTAAATAAAAAAATTAATAAAAAAAATTGTAAATATGAAAATACCTTACTCGTACAGGTTAAAAAAGTCCATGATGTGTTTTCATATTCGAAAATAATTGTAGAATACACTTGGTGTTTATAGTGTTAAAAAATTGTCTCTATATACGCTACTAGATAATCATTCACGAACTTATCGCATATTCGATTTGTAAACTTGTTCTTGATGTAACCCAAAGCTGAAAGACTCTTTCAACACTTGCCGTACAATCATAAAATCAATACAAATTAAGGGTAGTTTGAAATTAGTTTAATTGTTAGGTTTTTAAAATAATTAGAGATAGGGAATGCCATTTTACTATTACACATTGTTCAAAATCGAACAACAAATGAGTTTATCTCAAAGGAAATTAAGTTTATTAATAATAATAGTACTAGCTTTATACCCGGCCCGTTGGCCGGAGAGATTTATTTTATAATTTATATTAATTAACTTATTTATATGTTTAAATCATTTTGGATCTTCTAAATATTTTGTGTTCTTGATTCATAAAAGAGTTTGTAGTATGTCTATATTGAAAATTTCCAATATTTAGCACACTCACTTCTGATGCTTCGGTTTTCTAATCATAAATTATGCCGCTGTCACGTCCCACTTATAACTTATGTCAAAATTTGTTAACCAAAACACTAATATTTAGCGTACGACAACCTGAACCACACACACACACACTACCATACGACCATTGAGTTTTACTATTTAGACTCCGGAGTTTTTTGAGCATGATACTATACCCTAACCTCTAATATGTGAACTCTAATCCCTAATTCTCTAACCTCTAATTTATGCAAATACTTTGTCATACCTATATTCTATCGTATCTTGAGTAAAATGAAAAGATAGTATACCTTGATATTATATATATATAAGTGCTACTCGCCTATCCCCACCCTCGGGATAGAGATCCCGCTTTTACCCCATAACGTCAGACAACCATTGAGGTTGTCTATTGTTTGATATGTAATATATAAAGAGGGAAATTCTAAGATGATGCTATTTATTTCTTATCCTCTCCCGCCGCCCCCCTTTATGGAGAATAAAAGGGTAGGCATGAAATGATCATAGCTCGATATGGTTTTATTCTGTTCATCGTATCGGAGGTTATGTTCTTTTTTTTGTGCTTCTTTTCATTCTTCTTTGAAACCTATGGTTGTGATCATAGGTATTAAGCCCCCGAAAGGGATTGAGATTTTAGGTCCTTTGGAAATCCAATACACATTGATGATCCTCAAGTTTGGACGAACTCTTGACCAATGTTGTAAAGATTGGGACTTTTTAGTGAGACATTCTTAGTAAAGATACTTCATTATTGGATCAATTTATTCATCCATATTGAAACTTGACACCCACCGTAGCCCTCGTGATGATTAAATTCTATAATCTCGACTCATTTCCATTTTGGATGTTAGTTTTTTTCTATCAAGACACTTAAATTTAGTATATTATACAATATGTATCAATTATTAATTTTTTAAGTTCAACCCGTGGTCATTGTTTATATGTTGACTTAGAATCTCAATCTAAGACACTCGCACACACTATCGAGGATTTTGGTCTTAACATGGTCGTTGAATGTGTAATTTTTAAAGATTTTATCACTTATATATTAATATTTGATAAAGAGTGTCTACAATACACACATATTTCAACTGCATTTAAAATGTCTTATCATTTGAACAATATCGGTGGATTTCATTTGATTATTTGCATTAACTTATTATCTATACAACATATATCAATTCGTGTTTCTCGAGTTTGGACGAACTGGCAACCAATTTTGAGAGTTGAGATTACTGGATAAAGATACTTGATTGTTGGATAAATATGTTTATCCCAATTGACTATTTTACTAAAAATTGCCACCCTTTATTTGCTAAATTTCTAGGTTAGTAGTTGATGAAACGCGATGTTTATCGTAGATTCTCAATAAAGATTCTCTAACATTTCTTTATGTTTTTTTTAAGGAATCTTGTGTCTCATCCTAGGGTATGAAGTCAAAGTTCGTCAACAATTATATTTAAGTCATTTTGAAAATTTTTATTTATAATCGTTGACGATAAGTCCAAGTCTGAAAGAAAATTTCTTAGCATACGACTTATGACCTCAATAGAGCTTGCTCAATCAACATGATATAGAACAAATATTATTAATGTGAACTTAGGATACATTATAAAATTATTGCACCTGCGATTTCTCTTCATTTGAGGAGTTTAAGGTAGAACATGATGTGAGGAATAAGAAGTCTTTTTTAAATAAATAATTATAACTACTCAATCAAGATTATACTCTGACATTTTGCTAAATAATACTTATTTTATTTTATAGACATATAATTTACGAATAAGAGAGTGTTTCATTGCAACAAAATATAAAGTACTATAGTTTATATTTCATAGGTAATTGAATGTCAAATGTTTATTTTCTCTCTTTTCATATAAATTTTTTTTAATCGAAAAAAATTTATTTTTTATGTGTATATTTGTCTAATTTCCATAAAAATGTAACTTATCATTCTATTTTACTAAAAATGAGTTAAAAAATTACTTCATAAGGTTTAATCAGATATTTTTTATTTAAACAAATGTGGTATATGTTACTTTCTATTTTCTTATTTATATTTTTTTTTACTGGACAAAAAAATATTATTTATGTGTGTTTGGTTAAGTTTATCAACATGTAACATACTATTAAAGCAAAAAAAAAGGTTAAAAGAAATGGAAATATTAAAGAAGAGAGAGGTAGCTTCATAAATACATAAATAACTAATTTTTTTGTTTGTAAAAAAGTTGTACAACTTGGCAAATTGTGGATCCTCCAAGTGCTTATGTGGCAAGAGATTGCTTTTGAATTGCCATAATATATAGTATAGATAGATAGATAGATAGATAGATATAGATAGATAGATATAGATATAGATAGATAGATAGATATAGATAGATATAGATAGATAGATAGATAGATAGATAGATATAGATATAGATTCTAGATTTGAATTATCCAACCTACCACTTATATTCCTATACACAAATGATAGTAGGATAATCATTTTTTCAAATTTAAGGGGTGTCCCTCACTATCAATTATATTTTTTTTTTGTCCATACATAAATTACCACCGGGGGTTGGATAATCTTTTTCTCAAAATTTAGGGGTGTCCCCCCCTTGGGTCCGCCCCTGATATCGAAGGGCAAATTTCGGACTGTGGAGATCAACATACCGTGTCTATGGCAACAATCTGGTCCGCCCTCAAGTACTGCAGAATATGCATCTTCAGCACTACGGATCATAGGAGAACCTATGAAGAGGAGCCGAGGGACGATAAGACTCCTGCTGATCCCAATTTTGAGTGCCCCATCTCTTATAAGGTGATGTTTGACCATGTGGTTATCTGTTCCGGACACAGTTTCGAGAGATCTGCGATTGAAAGATGGATTCGAATCCATCCCGGGGTTGCGACCTGTCCGATGACTAGAATGGAAATTGGAGCTGTGGCTCCCATACCTAATGTCAACCTTCGGAATCTGATCAATGCTTCACAGAGGAAGCCCAAACAACCTGGCCTTGCCAAGATGACATGCACAGAACCACCAGGCTCCTCTCCAGGTTTATGTTCCGTTCTCTCCGTTCAGGATCGGATGAACAGAGTACGAGGGCGGCTTACGAAATGCAGCTGATTGTTAGGGATGCTTGGAGCTATACTGATAGACTCTGCTTGATTCATAAAGGAATCGTCCGTCCTTTGCTGCACCTCCTAAGTGCTCCTGCCTCGCATGTTCAGGAGAAACACGTTCTTGGAGTATTGCTTCATCTATCAAAGGAGTACTCGGGCGCCATGGATGTCTTAGAGCAGGGTGGGCTCAAGCATCTGATAAATGTAATCAACAAAACCAAGGGTAGAATCACTGTTGCGAAACGCATTGCGGTGGCAACAATTGGACATCTGGCTTCAACTAGAAAGGAAATGATCTGTATAACAGGTCTGGATGTGACAGAAACGGAAGCTAAGAACTCTTTAAGAAGGTATGATCAGCTCTTGAGTTCAAAGCGATATGAAATCGTCCCGGGATTGATAGACCAGTTTAGAGCAGTGGTGGACAGCGAGAAGATGAGTGTCCTGAAAGTAATCTCGACTTACATAGCAGCTTCTGATTACAAGTATTATCCACAGTTTGTCGAGATTGTTCCGGAGTTAGTTAACATGATAAAGAAGTCATCGGAGAAGGAACCGGATCTAACAAGTCTGCAGGTTGGATCCAGTCCTTAAGCCTCATTGTTTAAGGAGGTTCTTAAACCATTTTTATTGGCTGATACTAGATTAGGTAGTTAATGAAGGGTTAGTAGTTAATAGTTATTTGGAATAAATAAGATATTATGAAAATATAATCAATATTACTCATTAATGATTCTCTTTCTCTCTCCCCCTTGATCTTCTCCATAACCCTCTCTCTCCACTACAATTTAAAGAAAATTCGAAATTAATTTAATTAAATATTATTATTTAATAAATTCGAACTTAATATTTTTTATTTTTTAAAATGAAAATTAAAAATATATACTCTCTCTCACTTCGTGGCAACTTGCAATACAATATTAACATTTTGCAATGACATTATCAACATTTATGAAAAGAATCTTTATTATTATACCTCATCATTATTAACGACTTCAATATACTTATCAATTCCTTATAATTACATTATTAACAATTTTGGATCAATTGTTACTATTTTATAGTTTCGTCATCAACGCCTATGAATGAATCATTAAAGTTATGTAACATAGTCATTAATAGTTTGAATAACAATATCATTAATTTACAATATCTTTAGTACTAATGATTCACATTTTCACATCATATTTATAACTATCTAGTCATGGCCTCTTCCAATGATTTCTAATAACATTATTAACATTTTATGATCAATTAATATTGCTTTACATTATCATTCTCAATGATCATAAAGCACAATACTGATTTTCAACATCTTTGGTACTTGTGACATAGTGCACCTGTGTGATTCAGTCAAACAAACATTGTCCAGCAAAATATTAGCTCAAGCAAACCAACATTCACGCCTCAACACAAAACTCTTAATAACAATACAATAAATCATTGATAACGAAAAGTATTTTGTTGAAAATAAACACAAAACATCAATGTAAAAATGTCCGACTTCAATATTATAAATGACATCAAACTTTTAATAAAGATATTAAAAACCATTAATATCGAATGATTAAGTCACCGATAAGGAAATAGATTTTTGTAATAAAAAATATTAATAATATTCAGATGCAATGTTTAATGTCAAATAGCACTAAAAACGCATTAATAAGTAACATGTGTTTAATGAATAATGCATCCAAAAACTTTGATAATGATAGCAACTAATGATTGTTAAGTACCTTATGAGATATTATTAATATCTTATTTTCAAACATTGATAATACTTATGCACGCCTATTAATAATGACACCAACTACGTTACTAACTTAGACTGAAAGATTAATAACCATAGTTATATAATTAAACGTAAATTCACTTTTGATAATGTCATAAACAAATGAATATCTAACAAGTATGCTTCTTGATAATGACATTTGACAAAGTTACAAACATAAACGAAAAAATATTAATAATTCAAATCACTAAACATAAGCAATCTTACAAATGAAATAAATTTTTGCTAATGGTTGTATTTTGCTTGAAAAAAAAACATTGTAAATAAACTTCAAGTACCAAAAAATTGAAAACACAATTTCACTTTTGCTAATGTTACAAACAAAACATAACATAAAAAGTTAATAATGTCATATAAAATTATTAAAAAACATGTAGAACAATATTAATAATAACACAAACGAATACCTAACAACGAAAAATCTCAAACCCATGCAATGAAAAGCCCTAATGATGATTCAATTTATAAATATTGATAATGTCATTACAAAATGTTAATACTTAATACTAATCGAAAGTTGCCAAGATGTGAGAGAGGCATATATTTTAAATTTCAAATTTCCATTTTAGAAAATGAAAATTATTAAATTCGAATTATATTAAATATTAAATAAATTTAGTTTCATATTTCTTTTTAATTATAATGTAGAGAGGGTTATGGAGAAAATCATGGGAGGAGAGAGAAAGAGAATCATTAATTAATTATATTAATTATATTTGCATAACCCTATTTATCCTTAACTACCTATTAACTACTAACCCTCATTAACTATCTAATCCACTATCAACCAATAAAAAGGGTTTAAGATTTTCCTTAAGAAATGAGGCTTAAGGACTTGAACTCAAGCCACAAGTCTGCTAGTAGCTGTGCGTTATATAGCCATTGGCGAGGAGGGGGGATTGAGGTTTCTAACCCTTCCATTCTT